AGGGTTTCGTTTCTTCTTTCAGGTTTGCTACACACATTTCTTGCATTGGAAAGGAAGCCACGCAAGAAATGCGAGGTGCAAGAAAGCGCAAGAAATATATGAAGGCGCACAATATGCGACATAGCGCGCCGCGCATTTCTTGCAGGTGCAAAATATTTACCTGCAAGAAACCACTTTCTTGCAGTTATTTCTTATGAAACGCAAGAAATGGGAGGTGCAAGAAACTGGGAGAAAGTGCAAGAAATATGCGCCACCCAGCCACGCGTCGTATGAAGTATTTACTACGTCGGGCGGGACCTAGTTTCTTGCGCCTTGAATTTCTTGCAGGTGAAAATAAATACCTGCAAGAAACCACTTTCTTGTCGCTATTTCTTATTGCACGTGATTACTTTGCACCGGAAACACTGGTGGTCGAAATATTTAGTCCCGGAAATTCTAGTCGTGGGAAGAACCAAGCTCAAAATACTGCTGTATTTTCACCAGAGTTTTTTCCCAATGGTTGAAGTACGTCCCCTTGTGAGTCACGGAAATCTTAAACTCGTTCACTTTTGGAAATATGTTTCAAAAATTTGTGAGAGGTTTCCAGTCGAGTTTTCGTCAAGTAAATGCGATCATTTGCACGCACGTTGAAGATGTGCAGATATTCATTAACCAGACAGTCGGTGGGGGTGAAGAAGGCGGCGTTTGCTTCGAGGTGCTAAAAAATACTTATAATTAATTATTTTTAAGCCAAGTACTTACAATTAGTTGAGTCGTTTTTAAAATGAGGAATAATGGTCAAACTTTGTAGCGATTTTGATGCGAGTTGGCTACATTTTATCTACATTATATCTACATAGTTATAGAAATGTGTGCATATGTACATACATATTTAACCACATTTCTATACATAAACTTTGCCAAGATTTTAACGATTTTAGACGAAATAAACCGTTAAACGCATGTAACGAAGGGGTGAAACCGAGAACTTTATAACATTTGTGAGGTGACATATGTATCAAATTTAACATATGGTGTCAGTTAACAGTTAACAAAGAGTCATTTAACAAATTCATGTTCTTTGAGGTCAAAATGAATGTCACCATTGAATTCGGGGTTAAACTTCAGTTCAGATTGACATATGTATCAGATATAACGTTTAGTGACCTTTCAGTGACCCTTGAGGTCAAAACAGAGGTCAACATTGAATTCGGGGTTAAATTTCAGTTCAGATTGACATATGTATCAGATATAACATTTAGTGACCTTTCAGTGACCTCTAAGTGACCTTTAGATGACCTCTGAGGTCAAAATGGATGTGACCATTGAATTCGGGGTTAAATTTCCTGTCCAATTGATATACATATATGCGATTTGACCTTTAAATGACATTTCGTGACCTTTTGACCTTGAAGGGAGTGACCTTCAGGGTCCATCTTCGAACTTGACCTTTGTTTTTATATGAAGTATTTATGTTCAAAATTTCAAGTCAATACGTTAAACCGTTCTTGAGTTATCGCACGGACAGACGGACAGACAGACGGACGGACATATCGATCTTATAAAGGGGTTTCACCCCTTAATAAATATGATTAAAAATTTGATTAAAACTTGAACGATTGTACAAAAATAATATTTGCACGTTTTCTTTCGTAAATATTTGGTAAATAAATATGTACTTCTTTTTTAGGATAACCTCATATTTTTGGACATTGACTCACATCAAGGGCGTCTTTTAATGATTCAAAAAACCCGGCTCTGACCACTGGAAGTTCGTCGTGGAAGTGAAGAAAGACGGTGGTCGTGGACGGAAAGCGATTCATGAAGCGGTGGATGACAGTGGTATCTCTCACGTTTTGGCGTGGCAGACGTAAGTAAACCTGCACTCAAAATAAGGTAGTAATGAATCATTACCATGCGGAATGACTATGTGGCTCTACCACGTGGGTTACGATTTGTCGTAGAAATGGTACTAATAATTTCAGGGAAATTCAAATTCATTACCAAATATTAAGGAAGTGAATACCATTATGTATTAAATTTGAATTTCCCTGAACTTATTACTACCATTTCTACGACAAATCGTAACCGACGTGGTAGAGCCACATAGTCATTCCGCATGGTAATGATTTATTACTACCTTATTTTGAGTGTGGTGAATCGTGGTCACCTTTAAGAAAATGAAGACTTGGATTAATTTAAGGACTCGTTTCCGATCGAAATGTTATATTTTTTGTACACTTGAGGAAATATGGTGTCCTACGTGACCCTCTGAGACTGAGGACGTTCGAGACTCCGCTCATGAAAAGTTTGACCATTCTGAAACTGAAGAAAGAACAATTGGAGATCAGAATTAGATAGGTCATTTTTAAGCAAAAATTTGATTATTTTCGAGTAAAATTCGCATATTTATATATATGTAATTGCATACTTTTCCATTCCAACGTTGTGGATAAGATCACAGTCCTGGAGAGCAAGTGAATCAATCTGATTCATGGCGCCCAACTCGTTTACCACATCTTGGAAATTCTCCCAGTCAGCCAAAACTTTCGGATCGGTTCGTGTTCCCGCATTGGGGGCGAGGAACGTCAGATTTCGCAGACTTGGGGAGGAACCAATGACCACTGCGAGATGTCGGGGATGACAAATTTGTAACACCAAAGTCGTGATTTTGAGAGGTTGCAAATTATTGACCGAGAAGTTGTTTACATGTAGAGTCGGTGTCCAACGCATGGTTTCCAGAAAAGCGTGAGGCTACCGATAAAAAAGAACATGATGAGAAAACATGTACAATTTATTTTTACGGAAAATTCCCACCTATTGCTCTGCCCCGAGTATCGCTTTGTACGGAAAAAATGCGAATTCCAATAAATTAGGACAGTTTTAAAAGATGGGTTTGACCTCATTCATTATTATAGAATATGTATTCTCTGGAACTCGACGGCCATCAAGTGGTTGCCATACGTTTCTAAAAACGCTGGGCAGGTCGGAGAAGTCGCATGCAGCTCGTCGTGATGACCACGGTCGGGAAGGAGACAACGTGGCGAGGTCGTTCCGGAGAGGAGTTTGTCGAGCTGAGCGATTTTACTTTTTGCATCCTGTTCTTAAGATAAGCTCGTTTATTCGCTCCGTTCCGTCGCGACGGGATCATTTCACCCGCACATGCGCATGCATACCTGTTCACTTTCATTCATGTGACTGATTATGATAGTGAATGAAAACAAGGTGTCTCACCTTTCCTCCCGAAGGAATACGCCTTTAAGGAATTTTCCGCCCAAAAACCGCAAAATTCCATCAAAATCGTTCAGCACGAGCCCATCGAAGCCCCAGAAGACGCCACCCACCCACATAATTAACCCGGCGGGTGTCATGTCGGGGGCGACTTCAGGGTGAAAGACTGCTCCGAAATTATGGAGGAATTGCCCTCAACCCAAGGCCAATTCGACGTTTTATACGTTTTACCCGATTTCCAGGAACCGTCCGTTGGAGGTCTACTGCGACATGTCAACGTCCGGGGGCTGGTGGACGATCAGATCGTGCAACGGAGAGGATTCGACGGTCTGGAACGAGAAGATTTTAACCGAACGTGGAAAGAGTATGGGGAGATCCATAAATTATGTCACGCAAAAAAGCCCTTTTTTAGGACCCCCCCACCCCTGTTGTCACGCCTTTGTCACGCTCGGCGTGACCCCTCCCCCCTCTTGTCACGTCACGCCTGAAAATTAGAATTTTTCCAACTGTAGGAATAAGATACATACAGTTGTGCTATAAAAGAGGAGCGAGTGGTAAATATGGCGTAATATCAAAACTCACAAGGGAATCTTAAATATGTACCGTGTAACCAGGATTTGCACAAATTAACCTTATTTGGCCGATAGTTCATGAAGAAGCCACGCCTTTGTTATATGTACAAGATGTTATACAAGTTGCGGTTAAAACCAAATATTTTGCGATAACTGAGTGAAACCCGTGTAATTTTACAGGATAGGAACAATTGTTAGATCTGTTTATACTAATATGTATCACACCCTCGATGGAGTGAAAAGTCATAGCATGATAGATTTGTGGATAACAACCTCTTCCAAAATTACTGCTCATTTTTTAATATTTTTAGTTTTTAAACGTTTTAAATAAGTTGAAAAAAATCTGCCAAGCTTTTCAGTTTTCTTATATGTTATATGTTACCCATTTTTTAAGTGTTAACATTTTTGAATCATGCAGTTGTCTTCAATTATTTAGTATACATTTTTTAAACTATAAAAAATACTTTCGGACAAAAAAAACTTTAAAAAAAACTTTCGGACAAATTTTTTAAATTGTGCAAATTTTTGGAGATTTAGTAATATTTTTTAATTGTTGAACAAATTTTTGCAAAATTATGACGATTTTTTGAAATTGTGCAGACTTTATAGCATCATGAATTTTATTTATTTATTTTTATTTATTTCCAAATAATTGTATATTGTGCAAATTATTTGAAGGTTTGAACAAAATTTAGAAACTTTGTCGAAAATCTCAAAATCTGAAACTTGGTTGAAATTTTGGATGCTTTGGATCAAACGTTTGATATTCGGTTGATCATATATTTCGAAATAATTTCGAAACTATAGTTTGGCCATAATAGGAAATTAAAATGTGAGTTAGAGTTTACTCTAAGTTATAGGCCTGCAAAACGTGATGTCACGGATAGGTCGAACCCCCCCTCCCCATATGTCACACTTTGTCACGGATTCTTGGAACCCCTCCAGGGTTCGGGGTTTTTGGGGTTTTTGTGGGTTTTTGGGGTTTTTGTGGGTTTTTGGGTTTTTGTGGGTTTTTGTGGGTTTTTGTAGGTTTTGGGGCAGGTTGAACCAGAATTCCTAAAATTATATATTAGAGAAAAACTAATTTAATATACAATTTTAATATGCAATTTTAACCGTTATCATTGATTTGGACTGTTACATCCAAAATTCATGTTTGACATGCAGAACTACATAAGCAACTTAAATTTCAATGCGTACGACATTCCTCGAAAATTATGCGTTTTTAAAACGTTTTAATTATATTTGCATGGAAAACGATGAAAGAATTGATACACATTTGCATACATACCGACAATATTGTTGAGCACTCGTTCTTATTAATCTAATCTAGCCAAAGTCAAATCCAAACTACATATCGCATGAATAATATAAAAGCACGAAAGAAAATCCAAAAACAGAAATGGTTTTACGTATGTAAATAAATAGAAATTCATCATTTTTAAATAATTGCACGGCACTCTTAAGCTGCGTTATCCTTGTCCGGGCTCGGAGTTTGCTTCCATGTCGTTCCTGGTCCTAGATAACGATTCCTCTCTCCTACGCTTCGTCATCCACTCATTCCACACGTTTGGAAACATCCTTGTGAGAGGAAAGTCGGGATGAAACTCGACTGGCTGCCAAGAATGTCCTGGGACGTAGACACGAGGGTCAAGTTTCCTCAACGTGACACATCTCGTCTCAATCGGCGCCCCATTTCTGTCCCGCGTGGGGAAAAAATTCTCCAGTTTGTCCCCTTCAACTTTCCATACATCAGGTAACGCGTAGGAAGAACAGGGGAACATGTATAACGAGAGGGCGTCAAGTCTGGGAAGGTGCCTCTCATAGTCGACCACATCCTTGTTATCTTGCGCTGAAGGGAAACGAATTTTCAAATCGGAAAATTGCACGCATCCGACGGAAAGCCTTTTCAACCGGGGAAGAACCGGAAGGTGGAGAACTTGGCCGTGGTGCGAGACATCATCCATAAACTGCAAGTCTTCCAATGTGTCGGCATGCTTCAGGAGTAAATTTTCCAACCTGGCGAAATTCTCTGGTTCCAAACGTCCTAAATTGTTCAGTATCAGCATCTTCAAGGGATTAGTCAATTTGAAAAGCAAGTCGAGAACAATTTGTTGTGTCGAGCGGGTAGTAAAAGCTTCCAGTTTGGGGAAGGGCTGTTCATACCGGAGCAAACAGGTGAGGAATTCTTGCTCACAGTAATTAACTTGGAAGGTTTTGACGCCCTGAACTGCTGCCGCCCAGGAGGATATGATGGTCCGTTGGGTGATGACAGGAGGGGTACGACCAAACCTCACGGAGAAGGTGAATGCTTCAAGCTTATTGAGATGGAGGTCCTCCGTGGGAAATGCGTAGTCTTGGCTGGATTCATCTCGTAAGTCAAAATTCCAAGATAGCTCTAGGTCGCAAAGGGTTGCTTGGAGTTTGATGAGAATGCCGAGATGAATCTTGTAATCGGATCGGGAAAAGATTCTTCCCTCCAAATTCAACCGGGTGATGTGGCTTCCTCGATCTGACAGGAACCAGGTCAGATCGTCGGCCAGTTTCAGAAGTAATTCGGCTTCTTGCGGGTCTGGGTTATTTACGGCAGTGAAAGGGGGGAGATCCAAGGTCAAACTGGGTAGTTGCAGGTTTTTCATTTCTTTAATGTATCGAAGCAACCTCATCGGCTGGATTGGGCCCTCATACAAGTCTCGGAAGTTGAAGGAAACGGTAGATTTTTTCTTTAAAATTCGAACAGCTTCCTCGTCCCATTTGGTACATACTAATCGTGCCCTTTTGAGAGTGTTGAAGGTCAAGTAGGAAAAAATGTGGGACAAGATCTGCCAAAAATTATGAACAGGTTAGGAAATGATCGATTAAGCATGTATTAAGAATAATGACCAATTTACAAGATGATTTTGTCCTGGCGTGAATTCGACACTGTCCTCGTCACCTGTCATGCTCGGATCCTCCGCATTTTGTCGTTCGATGGGTCGATAACCTTCCTAATAATTACAAACAATTAAGTCCACTCATCATGATTACCATACAATCAGCCATATCGATAATAAATTGAAATTCTTACTTTAAAGAGGAAGAATCCGTTCAGAGATTCATGTTTAATCCCTGGAGTATTAAGTCCTCGTCTCGGTCGAACTTTGCCAAGTAAAGCTATCTTATCGCTATACTTGAGTTTCCTGCGACAGTTTTTCTCTAACCGGTAACCATTGACCAAAGCCACACGTTTCTATATATTTAACAACAAAAGAATAAATAGTATTATAATAATATTTATGTAAATAAAATGAATGCTATTAGTTAGTTACCAATAGCATTCGTTTTACCAACTCATTTAAATAATGGGTTAAATCCATTATTTTGAAATAAAACTAATAAATTGTCTCGTAAGACTTACGCCGGCTGGTGTAATCCAGTAACTTCCACCTGAACAGGTAATTTCGGCCAGATTGCCTGGATTTTTGGTAGTCTGGACAAAGATGAACTCGCCTTGGTCCTCCCTCGACATGTACTTGCTTCCGAAAGTGTACTGGTAAAAAAAATTTGGTAAAAAAATGACCTAATTTTACTTAATCAACTCAGATAAGAATTGTTCGTTTACCTTTTGATTTTCGATATACGGTAAAACGGTAGATTCTTTAAATCCAGTGTAGGGAGTGGGACACTCACAACTTGCCCCCCACACATGCTCCAGACATGAACTGCAGAATCGATATTGTGGTTCAAGAAGAACTGCGTCTACCTCTTCCATTTTATTGGCTTAACAGGACAATAATAATAATACTAAATAAAATTTTAATCGTGTTTGTTTACTCTTTACATGGAAATTTGAACATCTGCCTGACTCCTCGTTTTGATCGTCCCGCTTGACAAAATTCAATGGATCGGGCGAGGCGAGATTATTGATTGAGTCTTTATTATTTGAAAGTGTATTAAAATTATGTAATGATACAATTTGTATGACAAATTTTCATTTACTTGAAATGAAAGTGTCAAATAGTTTGGGTTAAAAATATGTATATTAAAAAAGTATCCACCTAAGAAGGGAACGTCCATAAATTATGTCACTAAAAAATGCCGATTTTTCAGACCCTCCCCACTTGTCACATGTACGTTACACCCCCTTTTTAACGCGTGTCATAAACATTTGCCTCCCATTTTAATCATATTTGCATGGAAAACGATGAAAGAATTGAGACACATTACATTTGCATACAATATTGTTGAACACTCGTTCTTATTAATCTTCACTTTTGGAAAAACCTTTGGGAAACTTGTGAGTGGTTTCCAGTCGACTTTCCGTCGGTTAAATGCGATCATTTGCACGTGGAAGATTTGCAGGTTTGTGACATTCTCATTGACGAGACAGTCCGTGGGGTTGAAGAAGGCGACGCTTCCTCCGAGGTGCTAAAAAAAACAATTAATTATTTAAGCTAACAATGGAGGCGCAAACCATGTTCAGCCCAGATGATTTTTGACCTTATTAGTTTGAAAGAGCAAGTCTTTACAAACAACATTTGGTTCGGCACTTGGGCAGATGCGGAAATTTCAGCACGTTATGGGCGCCGCAAATTCGCAAAAACGCACGAAGTTGAGCTGGCGCTGGGAATTTCCCGAAAAATCGTGCGTTTTTGCAAACTTGCGGCGCCCATAACGTGCTGAAATTGGCGCATCTGCCCAAGTGCCGAACCAAATGTTGTTTGTAAAGACTTGCTCTTCCAAACTAACATGGTCAAAAAATTATCTGGGCTGAACATGGTTTGCGCCTCCATTGTAAGTACTTACAATTAGTTCAGTCGTTTTTAACCTGATGAGGAATAATGGTCAAACTTTGTGGAGATTTTGATGCGATTTGACTACATTTTTTCATATAACTATTTTATAAAAATTGTGTGCATATGTATTTTAGCCACATTTGTAAAAATAAATTTTGCCAAGATTTCACCCATTTTAGACGAAATAAATATGATCAAAAGTTTGATTAAAAACTGAGCATTGAATGATTTGTAGGTTTTCTTTCGTAAATATGTACATACTTCTTTTGTGGGATAAACTCATATTTTTGGACAATTGGACTCACATCAGGTGCGTCTTCTAACGAGTCATAAAATCCGACTCTGACCACTGGAGGTTTGTAGTGGTAGTGAAGAAGGACGGTGGTCGTGGATTGAAAAAACGGTGGATGGCAACGTTCTCTCTCACATTATCCCGTGGCAGACGCAAATAAATCTGGATCGTGGTCACCTTTACGAAAATGAGGACTTGGATTAATTTAAGGACTCATTTCCGATCGAAATGTTATATTTTTTTATACTTGAGGTAATACGGTGGTTTAAGTGATACTCTGAAACTAAGGGACGTTAGAGATTCCTCTCACGAAAAGTTTGACCGTTCTCAAACTGAAGAAAGAACAATTGGAGATCAGAATTAGATAGGTCATTTTTACCAAAAATTTGATTATTTTCAAGTAAAATTCGCATATTTATGTATGTAATTGCTTACTTTTCCATTTCAACGTTGGGGATGAGATCCCAAACCTGGAGAGCCAAGGTTGTAATCTGATTCATGCCCCCCACCACATCTTGGAAGTCTTCCCAGTTTGCCAAAACTTCCGCATCCGTCCGCCTTTCTGCATTGGGGGCGAGGAAGGTCAGATTTCGCAGACTTGGGGAGGAACCAATGACCACTGCGAGATGTCGGGGATAACACATCTGCAGTACCAACGTGGTGACCTTGAGAGGTTACAAATTCGCCGAAAACTCGTTCACAGAGAGAGTAGGCGTCCAGCGCATCGCTTGCAGAAAAGGGATAAGCTGCACGTAAAAATGAACATATGATAGGAAAACATGTACAATTTATTTTTCCGGAAAATTCCCACCTGCTCCTCTGCCCCGAAGATTGTCTTGTATAGTAAAAATGCAAATTGCAATAAATTTGCACAGTTTTGTAAAATTGTCTTGACCTCAGTCATCATCCCCTCTCGTCAACAATCTCTGGAACTCGACGGCCTTCAGGTGGTTACCATACATAATTTTCTAAAAACGCTGGGAACATCTGAGTGGCCTCGAGATAGGTCTTGGCACGCATACAGATTGTCGAAATGACCAGTTGGGAAGAAGACAGCGTGGCGGAGAGAAGTTTATCGAGCCGGGGCAGCTTGTTGTTGACGTCGTGTTCAGGCAGGAAAGTGAGGTAGGCTCGTTTATTCGATCCATTCCGTCGGGACAGGATCATTCCACCGACGGAACCGCAGGTTTTCGAAACTTCCGAACTTCGAGGTCACTCAGGTGGGCAAAAATAGCGTAGGCGACGGCGAACACGAACTCCGCGATTGGAGGGTCGACGGTAGCGTCACCACCATTTTGATTCAGTAGTTTTAACAAATTATGTAGAACAGTTGGTTTTTAGTTAAGAATTGGGATGAGATGAGTGCACTTGGTTTTCAGATTTTTTAAATTTTATGGGATTCTTTTTTCATGTCTGGGTTCCTTTCGAATTTGTGAGAACGTATCGCGTATCGTTGCGATGAAAGGAATGTATTTTATGACATTGAAGATTTTAATTTGGGTTAAATTTGTGTCTCGTATAAATGAGAAGAACATATATTTCACCGTATTTATGAGGATTTATAATAAAAATATATTTTTAACAAAATCATCCACAAATTCAAGTGATACATTTAAGTGTTAAAATTCTTGGCCAATTATTTAGAAAAAAATAGGTGAAGATGTATGCACATACATTTGAGACGGGTTTTGCATGTACACAGACTTGTCGGGAAAAGTGAGACTTTTAATGTGAATATTTCCTAAAAGGAAATAAATCGATCTTGGTTTGTGAGGCAAAGTGAGACTTTTTCTCGGTATAGTCTTTTTTATCCAGTCGTGTGCAGGCTGCTAATTAAATTACTAATGAAAATGATGAAAATGATGAAAGTAAATAAATAAATTCTGAAATGATAACGAGAATAACAGTATTTTTAATCAATTATTGAGATGTTGACTGATGAAATTTATTAGATTTTGCACGGTTTCTACAAATCGTCACTATTAAGAAGAGGTTGCATTATTTGGACAGTTTCGTCTCATCGTCATCAAGTTTATAACAATCAATTCATTTGTTTTGACTAAATTTCTGATCCTTCAAAATTATTCATTTTTTTAAGAGAAAATTTTAGGTTTATATTTTTTAACGACGATGACCCTCACAAGGCAAAAATCCAATTTAATCATTTTTTAGAGATCTTGTTCCTCGTCTTGGACGGGACGATCGCGAAGGTTTTTGGGCGGAATTTCCTCCTTTTCGGATGCGGGACGCTTTTTGGGTGTTTTGTCTTTCATGGTCACGGACTTCTTCTTTTTCTTGATTTCCGGCTGTGGCAGATATTCGACATGGTCATCGTCGTTGCCACCTTCCTCCTCCTCGTCTTGGACACCATTTTCGTCGAAACGCTTCATCACGCCGGCTTCGAGGTGTTGATTGTGTCCCAGGACGAGGGGTTTCGCCTTCTTCTTGATTTCTACCTTGACCACGGCCTTTTTCTTGGGTTGGAGAAACAGTTTCCTCTCCGATTTGATGGGGTTTAGTCCGGCACGTTCTAAATAACGTTCAATATGAATTTCGGCATCCAGTCGGGAGACGTCGATGGATTTGAAAATGTTGACGAGTTCCGTTTCCACGTTGATTGAGGGCAAATCGCTGGTGGTGGAGGATGGATGGACGTTTGAGTGGAAAAACGTGGCCTTGCCGTCCCAACGCTTTATGGCGAAGACTTGTTGAGATTCGTGCAATTCCTGGAAAAATGGGAAATTAGTAGAAAATTCAGGTTTTCTAAAAGATTCGTGAGTTTTTGGGGATTTTCGAAAAATAAAAGGGACAAAAGTGTAAAATTGTGGATGGAATTATTCTAATGTGGGGAACTTTGAATATTTCTTGAGATTAGAGATAGAAGCTCGATTAAATTGATAACACTTGTACATAAATTTGATCATTTTTCTCGTTTTTGAAAATGTGCTCATCTTTTTACCCGAATGATTGAATCGCTCAGCTTGGTCGAGTCGTGAATGTCATCTTCGAATAGACCTGAAAAAGATGGAATTTTTATTACAAAATTTCCAAAAACTAGCTTCTTTCTAAAACTTATTAAAAAATGAATTATGCACCTTCCAACCGGCTCGACATATCTTTAATCATATCCACCATATCGGTGAGGGCAGTAATTTTGTATGGCGGAATGTACGATAAGCGACCCTTGGCGTCGATCTTGATCCGAGGATGCCGTTTGGGAAGACTTTCGTCCAACAAAATCTGGAAAAAAATAATCAGAATCAGAATTTAATTATACACAAAATTGACTTATTTCGCATCGGAACTCGTAGTTTGTAAAAAGACGTCATTGATCTGAGCAAGTTTATAATTTGGAATAATTTTCTTCAGAAAAATGGGTAAAATTTTGTAAAAGTTTACAGAATTTACGGATTTTCCGATTTTACAAGTCTGCCTGCCTGCGTCAATTGCCTCAAAATAAAAATCTGATCCTTTCCAGCAGGAAATTTATCAAAAGAAATCCGACAAATTTCACAAAATTTGGCAATTTAACTTGATCTGCTTTCCGAACTACGATGCCCCCCAAAAAATCATACCTTTCTCGCCTCCGGGTGGACGTTCGTCTCCTTTAGAGCGACAAAAAGCTCATCGATGGAAAAAGTGTTAAATTTCCTGTCGAGAAAACACTCTCTCAAGTATTTCTCTATCTTCACCGCCATCGAATCCGCTCTCTTTTGACAAAACGCGGCCATCTCGCGCTCAAGGTCAGCCGGGCTGGAGAAAAATAATCATAATTAGTTCACGAACTAACTAACTAGGCAGGCAATTAATTAATTGTGATAAGTATACCTCGCCAGCAACGGAACGACGTCCGTGCGCCGGAATTCTCCAGCTTTGCGAAGCTCCGCAAACTGGGAAAAGTCGAGTTTTTGATACGCCAACATCATCCTGGTCGTGTTAGACTGATACTTGGAGACTTGCGAATTGTGGGTCATGGTTAACCTTCAATTTCAAAAAAGAAGATGAGCTGATTAATTAAGAATTTTGATTTAAATGAGGAGAAATTGTAAGTTAAAAATTTGGAAAGGAAAGTTAAACAGGCTAATTTTTTAATAGTTTTATGTGCCAATGTTTGAGGGGATAAGTACGCTTACCGAATGATGATAAGTACAAGAATTGTACAAAAAGAAATACAAAATAATTAATTTCGAACAGAATACAACAACCAAGTTAATGAAACATGAGTTTGGTTTACAATGTGTTGGTTTGGATCCCGGGTTTTACTTGGGGGTATCATGAGAAATAGATTTCTCCTTCACGTGGATGTTCGTAAACTGAATAAGTTTTATAATTTTATTTATCGCAGATTTTTATCCTGATTTTGTATTTCTAATTTTTTTAATTCTTAAATTTTTAACCTCATCGTAATTATCACAAGTCGACGCGGCATTAACAACATTATATTTTGAATTGGTTACACCCCCAAAGTTCCCAAAATTGAATTTCGAATTGGTTACACCCTCAAAGTTCCCTAAATTGAATTTTGCATTGGTTACACCCCCAAAGTTTCCAAAATTGAATTTCGAATTGGTTACACCCCCAAAGTTCCCAAAATTATATTTTGAACTGGTTACACCTCTCAAAGTTTCCAAAATTTAATTTTGAATTGGTTACACCTCTCAAAGTTTCCAAAATTGAATTTCGAATTGGTTACACCCTCAAAGTTCCCTAAATTGAATTTTGCATTGGTTACACCCCCAAAGTTTCCAAAATTGAATTTCGAATTGGTTACACCCCCAAAGTTCCCTAAATTGAATTTTGCATACACCCCTCCAAGTTCCCAAAATTGAAATTTGTCTTTGTAACACCCCCAAAGTTCCCAAAGTTATATTTTGAATTGGTTACACCCCAAAAGTTTCCAACATTTAATTTTGAATTGGTTACGACCAGAGACTGGTCAATCCCGGATTAAGGATTGGGGATTGAGATTGGGATTGGGGATTAATTAATCCTTAATCTCAATCCTTAATCCCGAGTTTTTGAATTTTAATCCTTAATCCCTAATCCCCAATCCAAATCTGTCAACTTTAATCCAAAAGTGGGATTAAAATGGGATTAAAGTGGGATTAAATTTGCATTCACTAAAAACTCAAAAAGCAAACTTCTCTTGAGATCGCTCCCCTTTCGAAAATTGATTGCATTTCGTTCATTTTTATCAAACATTTAAAAATACTCCAAAATATTTTGCAAAACTACTCGTATCGTGGTATCCTCAATGTGCAATGTTCAAATTTTGTGTGAGCTTATAAAGAAATGTGAGTACTCTGACCAAACTATGATCGATGCTGTTCGTTAAAATAGTACCAAGAATAAAATTAGAATTCTTCCCCTATATAATTCTTAGCACAAAAAATATTTAATTATGACTTAGAAATTGTATTCGTAAGCCATCTAATTTTGTATGCAAAATGATCAAAATATTCCATTTTCAGAAGTTCAGAGATTTGTTTAATTAATTTAAAAATCTGGCATAATAATGCAAACAATTAATCCACGACTATGTAAATTAATTTCCAAACCAGGTAAACCCTAAATTTAATCCCGTGTTAATCCCAATCCCAGATTAAATTTAATCCCGTGTCAATCCTAATCCCAGATTAAATTCAATCCCTAATCCCAATCCTTAATCCCAAAATTTGGAAAATTAATCCTTAATCCCGAATCTCAATCCCAAGATTTTAAATTTAATCCTCAATCTCAATCCTTAATCCCAATATCTTTAATCCGCCAGTCTCTGGTTACGACCCCAAAAGTTCCCTAAATTAAATTTTGAATTGGTTACACCCCCAAAGTTTCCAAAATTGAATTTCGAATTGGTTACACCCCCCTCCAAAGTTCCCAAAATTATATTTTGAATTGGTTACACCCCCAAAGTTCCCAACATTGAAGTTTAACTAGGTTACACCTCTAAAGTTTCGAAAATTAAATTTTGAATTGGTTAACCCCCAAAGTTCCCAAAGTGGTTTTTCACCTGGTTACACCCGGTTCTAAAAGTTTCTGAAATTGATATTTGGTTAAGTTACACCCTCAAAGTTCCCAAAATTGAATTCTTGGCACACAAGGAAAGTTTAAATTAATTAAAGTAATTCATAAATGCAAGATTCCAATTTCGATATTTCAATATCGAAATTTCGATATTTCGATATTCAAATATCGAAATATCGAAATATCGAAATATCGAAAACGATATCGATATTACATGCCCTAGTACTCACCGGTCAAAATACGTCTCTTTGTGAGTCACAGAAAGCTTAAACTCCTTCACTTTTGGAAATACGTTTGGAAAATTTGTGAGTGGTATCCAGTCGACTTTCCGTCGGTTAAAGGCGATCATTTGCTCGTTAAAGATGTGCAGGTTTGTGACATTCTCATTGACGAGACAGTCGGCAGGGTTGAAGAAGGCGACGCTTCCTCCGAGGTGCTAAAAAAATACAATTAATTATTTAAGCTAACAATGCGATGGTGTGAAGTCTAACCCTCCGATTTGGTTGAAATTTCGAAATTACGTGGTCCAAGTGAATCCAACCAACGTTTCTTCAGGCAGTTTGTGCAATGGTCAGAATTTGGCGAAATATTTGAGAACAAAGTCGAAAAATGCGCAATTTTTAGCACGGGAGGAGAATGTAATTTGAGTTTACTTCCTCCGCCTGGTAAAAATCGCCCCTTTTTCAATTTTGACCTCAAATATTTTAGCAAATTCTGACCATCGCACAAACTGCCTGAAGAAACGTTGGTTGTATTGACATGGACCACGTAATTTCAAAATTTCAACCAGATCGGAGGGTTACACTTCACACCATCGCATTGTAAGTACTTACAATTAGTTCAGTCGTTCTTAAACTGATGAGGAATAATGGTCAAACTTTGTGGCGATTTTGATGCGATTTGACTACATTTTTTTCATATGTCTAGTTATAAACTTTGTGTGCATATGTATTTTAGCCACATTTGTAAAAATAAATTTTGCCAAGATTTCGACGATTTTAGACGAAATAAATATGATAAAAAATTTGATTAAAACTTGAGGATTGAATGATTTTGCAAAAATATTATATATGTACGTTTTCTTCCGTAAATATGTACGTACTTCTTTTTTGGGATAAAAAACTCGGATAATTTTGGACATTCACTCACATCAAGGCACTAAGCGAAATATGACCAAATTATCGCTCAAAATTCCCAGAGCACATTTCCGATGATATTTTTGCAGATTTCATGTTCTGCCGTGCTTAGGACATGCTCATAAAAAAATTGGCGAGCCACGCCCACTTTGGGTGTGGTTTTTTCCTAGTGTGGTTAGAGCCAAACGCCATGTCGAAAACTGAAGCCCATGCGATTGTTGACCTACCATAAAAATTTCATCCAAATCCGTTCATAAACAAAAAAGTTATTCAACTTTATAACTCGGCGACGGTCAAAAAACGTCGACTTTGGGGGTCTGGTTCTGCCGGGGGTGCGCGTTCAGAAAGCTGGAAATGAGTTTAAATTGCAGTCCTAACTGATATCTATTCAATACAAAAAGAACGGGCTTTCTGAATCTGCACCCTTCCAAGATATAAGCCCGGGAACATTGAAAAAAAACTTGTCGAAATTGTCCAAATCGGGCGAAATTCATCATGTCGTAGAGCAGTGAAAATCAATATCTAGCTTCAGCTAGGTCTAAAAAGTGTGTCGCAAGTGAAATTAACCCATGTCGTAAGGGAACGATGTCGACGTGTCGAATTTTCGACATGGAGCTAGAGCGTTCAAATTCAAAACTAATACTCTGCAACCCTCAAAAAAATGTATACAAACACTTTTAATCATGTCGACACCTTATTTTACCGAATATCGACCTTAAACTGTAGAAATAGGAAAAAGTGCATGTCGATTTGCTGAAATAAGGTGTCGACATGATTAAAAGTGTTTGCATACATTTTTTTGAGGGTTGTAGAGTATTAGTTTTGAATTTGAACACTCTAGCTCCATGTCGAAAATTCGACACGTCGACATCGTTCCCTTACGACATGGGTTAATTTCACTTGCGACACACTTTTTAGACCTAGCTGAAGCTAGATATTGATTTTCACTGCTCTACGACAAGATGAATTTCGCCCGATTTGGACAATTTCGACAAGCGTGACAATTTCGACAATTTCGACGGGCGTGGCTCGCCAATTTTTTATGAGCATGTCCTAAGCACGGCAGAACATGAAATCTGCAAAAATATCATCGGAAATGTGCTCTGGGAATTTTGAGCGATAATTTGGTCATATTTCGCTTAGTGCAAGGGCGTCTTTTAAGGATTCGAAAAACCCGTCTTTGATCACTGGAAGTTCGGTGCGGTAGTGAAGAAGTATGGTGGATCACCATTGGTGGTTTTGGACGACGCAGTGGCCGCGGAAGCCATGCAGACATGTGGGGACATTAACACTATAATATAGATAGGGGAGGAAGTTATTTGTATAAAATGATGGGAAGATGATGCGGACATCGAATAATCGGGGGGACATTGTCCATATGTCCACACCCTTCCGCGGCCACTGTTTGAGTGGAAAGCGAATCATGAAGCGGTGGAGGGCAGCATTTTCTCTCAAATTTTGGCGTGGTAGACGTCAATAAATAAATCTGGACCGTTGTCACCTTGAAGAAAATTAAGACCTGAATTAATTGAAGAACTCGGCTCTGATCGAAATGATAATTTTTTTATATACTTGGGGAAATATGGTTTCGCACGTGACCCGTGAGACTGAGGGGCGTTGGAGATTCGAGATTCCTCTTTCCAACAGTTTGACCGTTTTTAAACTGAAAAAAATAATTGAGAATCAGAATTACATACGTGATTTTTATCAAAAATTTGATTGTTTTCGAGTAAAATTCGCATATTTATGTAAATATTTGTGTAATTGAATACTTTTCCATTTTCACATTGCGGGGACAAGGTCCCAGTCCTTGAGAGCAAAGAATTCAATCTGGTTCAATCCCCTCCCCCCACTCGTTCACAGCATCTTGGAAATGTTCCCAGTTTCTGCCTTGGTGGTGAGGAAGGTGAGATCTCTCTCACAATGGAACCTTACTTCAAGCAACGCCGGGATCGAGTAGCGAGTTACGTAAAAAATCAAGCTAAAAATTAGGAGTCATGTGACACTTATCTTTCCGTTGAATGACCCCTTTGCTTTTTCCTCCATGGGGCGAAAACCTGGGAGGAGTAGGAACTTTGACCCCCAATATTTTTCTTGAAAGGGGCCATTCAACGGAAAGAGAAGTGTCACGTGATTTGTAATTTTTGGCTTGATTATCTGACATAACTAGCTAGTAGATCCCGGTGTAGCTTGAAAAAAAGTTCCATTGTCAGACTTGGGTAGGCTATGAAGGCTGTGATGTCGAGGATGGCACGTGTGCAGTACCCACGTGGTGACATTTAGGTGAGGTTATTTAACCAAGTTTCAAACTGGGCAAAAAAATCGCTCGTCTATCGTTTGCATCGTTTCCCTAAAATCGTGAAACTACGTACGTACAAGTAAAAAACAACATGATGAGAAAACATGTACAATTTATTTTTGCGGAAAACTCCCGAATTTCGCATAAGCGATCATAATCTGTAATGTAATGTAATAATCTGTAATAATAATGATGTTTGTGGTTTCCAAATTTTTTTTGGAAAGATATTTAAAAAAATGTTCATCTCCTTGCATTTTTTAAATGACAATTTTAATTCATCTGCACATCCATAATTTTAAGGGTTGCAAAGTTTGGAGGTTATAATTTTGATTTCCGTGGGCACATATTTAATTAGTTCTTACCATTTTCATGGAAGAAATAAATCAACATTCTAGCCTCGTAACTTTGCAAACCTAATTAAAATATATAATCATAAAAAAGCATTATCGTTAAATTGTGTAATTGGCGAACTTACCCTAAAACTAATTTTCGTCAAATAATCAATAAAAAATAAATAAGTATTTGATGATGCAATAATTAAAATATGATATTGAACTTATTAACCCTTATTTGTAAAATTATAGCAAGGTAATGCTTATGAATTTCGCAAATGTATGTATGTAATCACAACTCCAGATTTGTTAATACAAAATTTAGTATTTAAGATGACAAGCTTATTTAAGTTAGGGTAAATTAATTAATTACAAATTATATGACATGCTAAATTATGTAACACTATGGGTGGCTAAGCCTCGGAAGAGTTTAATACATAAACAAACAAAATACAATAAATATAATAAGTTAAATTGAAGTTTCAACTCAAAATTACCCTCTTTGAATCTGTGGAAGTAGTATTTGTACAAAGTACAATGAGGTATTAAGATTGTGACGAATGATAATGGAGGAGAATAACACAACCACTAACACGGGTGATATAAATATATGCCTACTATGTTTTTAAAAATATTAATTAGTTTATTACCGCTTACTTACTCGGATTCATTATTTAAAATCTTGTAATAACCTGTAATTCTATGGGCCACGAGCCTTGTAAGAATTTTTAAGAATAAATTACTATTATTATTATTATTATTATGTAAAGTACAAAGAAAATTTCACAAAGAAAGATAAAGATTTTGATACAATGTTACATATTTGTTCAAAATCCGTCATGCTTTTATTACAAAAATTTATATTGGACATGAAATATACAAAAGAAGTAATGAAAAGATGGGTAATAGGTTAAAAGGTAAAATAAATGAAGTTGCTGAAATGGCTGAAATGGCTACAATTTTCTTGCATTGGCTACATTTGTCATGATTTGGCCAATGAATTTTTAAATTAACCTTGTCAAGGTATCGGTTACTTTAATCTCTGTATGATATACTTTACTAAACAAAAATAGTAAAATTTAAAAAATCATGGTTTGTAGAAGGAATTAATTCAATGGGTAGAAACCATACGGAAAATTCAATTCAAAGAGCTTCCCAGTCTTTCCAATTTGTTCAAGAAATCGACACAGAATTCAACAAACTCATTGCTGGGGAAGCATATCCAACCGACCCATCCTACAAAGATTACAAAAAATATGTTCTTGATTTCAATGCTGTTGTTGGAATTATTAGAGAAAATAAGGTCCGACAAACCATGAACCAGGTTAGAACCAATAAAACCAATAAAACCACCTTTATGTATTAACCACAATTAACTGAACAGCTAATATTGGCAACCTTTCAGTTTTAGCGGCTAAAGTTGTTCCAAATCATTTTAAATATTCATCTCGAATACTGCACCTTCTTTACTACGAAAAGACGAATTAAACTACCCGCTCAATCACTCGCCTTGTTAGAGGAACGAAATGAAATGTCGATGTTTGTCGAAAATATTGCCTGTCCAGACAGTTATTGTCTTAATTACCACCATTTCCCAACTTAATTTACCGAAAATCGGGAGATCGCTAAAATGAAGCCTGATAATTTCCAGCACCTCCGCGTAGTTGATAATTACCAGGTTTAGCTTCCCCATAAACGATCCCCTTTCGTTGCCACGCAATTCTTAAACTTTATTTTCTACATTACACAAATCGACTCGCTATTAACAAATTCTAGCATTATTAACAAATTTCGGGTTGTTTACAAAACCCGGAATTTGTAAGTTTCCGTACAGTTGTATCGTAACAACTTCAATTATATTCGCATGCGTTTAAATGGTAACGTAAAATATTTGTATAACTACAATTTGTCAACTAGTCATTTATCACTGGTCACCTAAAATATAAAATATTAAAAAATATTGTGAGAACGGTGTGGCTACCAGCCGAGAGAACCGGAGAGAGCTGTATAATAACCCTAATTTCCAACCTATCTAAAATACGCGGAATAAAGACCTTCGGCTACTACCGAGACAGAACCCGAGAGCATTACACCAGTCAGTATGAAGGGAAACGAGGCACGTCAGAGGAATTGAGGGGGATCATCTGTTCGAAACCCAAATGTTTTTATGAACACCAAGAACTTTGCTCTGGATGGAATTAGAGGCATTGGAAGTGTCTGACCAATGGTTTTATATTTAGGGTTGATAAAGTTTTGAAAAAATTGGGTTCAAATTCAATACGGGGATATTTAATTTAAAGATTATTTCAAGGTGTGCCAACTATTTTGAACTTGCTTGTTCGATAAACTTATAACTTTTCAAAATGGACGTCAAAAAATTCCACAGACACAGATGCATTGGTAAAAAGATGGGCAAACAGTTATTCAGAGACTGAAAAACCTAAGGAAGAAACGAGGAAGGAACTTAGGAAAGGAAGAAAGTTCATATTTCGCTACTTAATCTACAAAAAAAAACAGAAATACAAGAAGCATAACGCAATTGCTGATGGAGGGTCATGTGGTCAACTCATGGGTAACTTTAGACTACTTTTGCAGTTATAATCCAATCTGCGACTCAGTGTTTCATCACCAATGGAAACTTTCATTTCTAAATTATTGCACATTTTATGACTAATCTCATCTGATTATACATTATCACTGGATGAATCATTGCCCTACAGTGTACCCTTTTGTAGTTTTGTAGTTTGATACTTGACCAAGATGGCATTTTATATAACTTAAGTCGTACGTACTACGTTTGCATCTTTGATGAACTTTTATAGGCACGGCACAAAGAGGTTTTAGATATTCAAGAATTCTTTTAAAAGTTCAGAAATAATTTTCTCCATATCAAACACAACAATTACGTATCGGGTGGTACAAAGGCTTTTAGAAGTCTCTGCCTTCATGATGAAGAATATGGCCTCCTATGAAGTCAACTGTGTGTGCAATTGACTTCTTTCGTATGCGTCAACGTCATTAGTGTCACATGCTTGACACATACATTTAAATTTGAGATTTATATATATGATATGTAGAATATGGCTTTTACAGTAAACCGATATTGAATCAGTTGTTGCGGAAGCGTGGGACAGAGGGACAATGTCCCCACGATCGATTTCCCCATCATCATCTGCTCATGTTATACAATCCCCTCCCTCCCCTATCCTACAATGTTAATGTCCCCAGATGTCCCCACGGCTTCCGAAGCCACTGTATTGAAGCACGTGCTAAACATTAAGCGCACCCTTTTGCAGTTTACTCTTAGATATGAATATATATATGGGGATATATATATATATATATATATCTTATATATGGGGTTACGATTATAACCGAAAAGTAAATGTAAATATGTGACTACCGCCGTGGTTATAAATTTGTCTTCAACTGGTTACAATTGTCATCGACTAATTATAAAGTTTCACCGACTTGTCAAATTAAATTAAATTGTCACTAGAGTTAATAAATTTATAACCAGTTGGTAACAAATTCATAACCACGGCGGTTGTGTCATATACGTTTACATTTTGGTTATAATTGTAACCCTATTTCTAAGAGTGTAAATCAGCTCAAGTGTGCATTTGAAACAAAGTGACATGCATCTCTAAGGTATCCAGTGGCGGCGGAAGCGGGGGGACATTGTCCCTCCAGAAATTCAGTAAAATCCTATCTCTCCCATGTTTCCCCATCCTATCTCACAATGCTAATGTCCCCACATGTCCCCCCAACTTCCGCCGCCACTGAACGTATCTATATAAATATTAACTACTCCTCAACTTAAAAATCTACACATTGGGTCTGAAGAACGTTTTCAAAATTTCAATCCATAAACTAAATTTGCAAAGTGCTAAGTCTTAGCTATCTTCTGTTTCGCAAGTAAGTCGGCGATCTGCTTCCATCCAAGGAAGGAGTAATCATGTCGAAATCCCTAAATAATAGAATTTTATAGGTCAAAAATTTCTTGGAAATTTTGATGTATTTAAAATTCACCTTAGCTGCATAGAAACGATGCCAAAATAATTCAGTCATGTTGTCCTTTCCTTTGGGGATGGCTTCGCCGGTTAGTTGAGACTTCATTTGTGGTTACTGCGTAATCCGAGCATCATGTGGACAGCGTTATCCTGATTACAAAATAAATATGTAATAAAATTGTACTTACTTCAAATTTTAAGTATTATTCAGTTAAATTTTAAACAATGTATGAATATAAATGCAAATGAATTTTAGTAAATAATTTATTCAAAATAAATAATAATAAACCGTAGCAAAAGAAATGTTGCAAAGGGATAAAGCGACACGGTCAAGTGGTCATTGTATCTCAAATCATAAAGTAAATCCCCGCCAAAAATTACGTCTGAAACCGTCGAAACAAAATATTCGACATGTTTGACCGTTAGTCTCATCCCCGTGGCGTCATGACCTAATAACCTTCAAAGTCATCCGTACTTCTAAAATTAGAAACATGGTGGCGAAAGCTACATATCCAAATTCGAATCCGTTCTAAAGTTATCGTGGATACAGACAGACAGACAGACAAGTTATCTTCATATATGGATTTCCCTTCGCTTCACCACTTAATAAATACGTAGCTTAATTTTACTTGAGATTTTAGCAATTTTTTAGTTAAATTTTAAATTATGTGTATAAATGAAAATGAATTTTAGTAAATAATTCAGTTCAAAATAGATACTAACTGCACTATGGAGCAGATTTTGAGTTAGTTTCTAAGTGGAAATATTGCAGTTGGTGTGGCGTAGAAACTATAAAAAACACATCAAATTTTAAAGAGCATGAAAATTTGAGTATACTCCCAACATTTTGTTAATAAGATGATTACAGGCGGAGGTACTATACAAAATTCTACCTCTTCAGTTATAATTTATTATTATTACCGAAGGGTAGCATAGACCAAGTTCTGCCCAATACAAATGGGAATAAAAATATTACTGACATTGTACGCAATTTCTTACCCACGGCCCCCGAGGAGACAACTTGTCACCATGCATGTGATAAAATTGCATAGTACCTCCGCCGGTAACGATCATATCACAAAATTATATGCTCACTCTGAATCAAACTGGATACATAATTTAAAATTAGTTAAATTATTAACTGACTAACAAAGGAGATCTCACAGCGTATGTGATCCAATTTTGGTCAGAAACTAGTCTCAATCGATGACAAATTTGATTAGTATAAAATTTGCGAAAGACAGGATCTCCCAATGGGCACGTTCGGCCGAGATATTTGGATCCGAAGAGGAGAAAACGTACAGTAAATGAGGAAAGTGCACAATTTTTGTCAGCTTTCGGGCACGTTTCTTGCAAATATCTTGGCGAAACGTGCCCATTGGGAGATCGTGTCATTCGCAAATTTCATACTAATCAAATTTGTGATCGAGCGACATGCACTAATTTTATCAAAATATGTGAACATCCGTTGGGAGACCTCCATTTTCAGGCAAGTTATCATCTTACCTGGGGTATGGACATGTGTAAGTGGATAATGGACAATTTTCCAATGATAATGATTTGCCAGAAAGTTGTCTCACGTCAAATTGTCACGGGTATCCTCGGTTCAAGCTGCATAAATAAATACACTCAAAATAAGGTAGTAATGAATCATTACCATGCAGAATGACTATGTGGCTCTACCACGTCGGTTACAATTTGTAGTAGAAATGGTAGTAATAAGTTCAGGGAAATTCAAATTTAATACATAATGGTATTCACTTCCTTAATATTTGGTAATGAATTTGAATTTCCCTGAATTTATTATTACCATTTCTAGACAAATCGTAACCGACGTGGTAGAGCCACATAGTCATTCTGCATGGTAATGATTCATTACTACCTTATTTTGAGTGTACATAATCTAAGGGGAAATTTAAGCAATAATTTGAAAACTGTATTTATCTTTAGTAGGAAATTTTAAAAGTAAAAATTTATGTCAAAATGTTTGTAGAATTTTGAATCACTGAAGGAATTTCTAAGTCAGACATTCAGACTTTGTGGAGAGTTAAAGACCTAAAATTATGCAATTATTAAGGGATAATATGTAAAATTTCTAATTTTTAACTCATAAAAAATCTAAATATGTAAATATGTACATTTAATGGGGAATTTATAGGAATGATTTGAAAATTGTATTTACCTTTACTCCGAAATTTCAAAGTAAAAATTTATCTCAAAATTGTCGTAGAATTTTGAATCACTGGAGGAATTTCCGAGTCAAAAATTCAGACTTTGTGGAGAGTTAAAGTCCTATTTACGTAAGCATCTTGCTTGGCAAAATGAAAGTGTAGATTGGGTGGGGCAGCATCTCAAAAATATGCGTCATGTCAAAGCACATCTCACTCGTACACTCTTAGAAAACTGGTATTAAATCATTACCGACCGGAGTATGTACATGTGTGCCTCTACCAGAACTGGTATTAAGGGGAATTACCACTCATGGTCACTTGTATTGTGGTAATGAAAAATTTACTACTCATGAACAATTTACTACCAACCGGTAAGAAATTATTACCAAATCAATACCAGCACGAAGTATCTACCAGATTTTTAACAGTGTAGCTGGACGGATATTACGTCACTTTATTTAACGGGTGCTATATGTACATACACAAATTTTGTCGGCTTAGTTTCAAGTAAAGATGTATAAAATATAAAATATTTATTCCAATATTAAATTTTCGATTTTTGAAAATATGCATGAATAACAAAATTATTGCAACGAATTTTTGCAACCTTTGAATTGACCATTGTAGGAAGAGCGAGATGAATTTAGATAGGGGTTGGAATTTCACTTGGCGACGAAATTTGCACCCAAGTGAAATTTGATCTAGTTGTTTTTCACGACAGATTTTATGTACATGCAGTGGCCGCGGAAGCCACGTGGGGACATTAACATTGTAGGATAGGGAAGGGAGGGGTTTGTATGACGTGGGGACATTGCCCCTCAAGCTTCCGCGGCCACTGCGTACATATGTGAATGAAGTACATATGTATGTACATAGTTCTAAACGTTATTAAATGAGCGTAAGAAGTGACGATTAGGATTTATGTAAGGTGAATTTTTATCAAGTTATTTTGAGTATACGTACATATGTATATGCACCAGTGGCCGCGGATGGGTGCGGATAATGTCCCCATGCCGTATACTCCTACAATATTAATGTCCCTACAGCTTCCGCGGCCACTGATATTGTTTGTGCGTATTTTAAGATATAAATTTTAAATAAGAGAAATTCTGTACGCGTGAAAATTTTATGGCGTTATTATCCAGAGCTAAAGCTTGCATATATGCCTACACTCTTAAAAACCTGGTGTTAATCGTGACCAAACTGTGTGTATATGTTACTTCACCGTGCGGTAATAATCTGTCTCACCGAATGGTGGTAAAATTAACATCAGCCAGTGACAAGTGGTCCTCATGCGGACAAGATTTATCACCCAGCGGTAACAAACATTTTCACCATTTGGTGAAGTCACATATGTATGCACACGGTTTGGTTCCGATTAAAAACCGGATTTTTAAGACGTGTACATACTTATCTACAGTTACATACGTATATAAATCTGTTGATAAATTTGATCATGAGGATTTGAACGTTTCCATGAAAAATATTTTTGATCCATGAAAACTTTACGATACATACAACATACTTACTCATGAAAATTAATTAATTTGCGTGCAATAAAATTGTGTAGCATTGGCGTTGCATCATTTCCATATCGAGAAAAAAACGTGTGAAGCGGCATTGCTTTTATAATTTCAGGATAAATTTAACGTAGGATTAGGCGACTCATCGTCACAGGTCTAAAAATCTGAACATATTTACGCATTTCTCCGTTCTGGGAATTTATTTTTAACTTCCATCAGATCCATTTGTAGACCAGATCAGTACCAATTTATTAAAAATATGTACTCTAGATTTTGACAAGTTTTGAAGTAGGAGATCCAAAAAGAGTGAACACCTTCAGAAAAATTGGGTCTCCTCCTTCAAAACTTGTCAAAATCTAGAGTACATATTTTTAATAAATTGGTACTGATCTGGTCTACAAATGGATCTGATAGAACTTAAAAATAAATTTCCAGAACGGAGAAATGCGTAAAAATGTTAAGATTTTTAGATCTGTGACGATGAGTCACCTAATCCTACGTTAAAACTGTCTTGGTTGCACCTACTTTTATGTAAATATGCACTTGTAGCAACATTTAGCATTGACAATTTCAATTTGACATTCATGCCTGTTCAAAAAAAAAACTTTTTCCATTTAAAGTTCAGTCATCGCGATTTGTGACTGAAGATTTTCATATTCAGTAATTTTCTTTCAAACTCATTTCATTTCACTTCATCGGGCTTCATTTCTTACTTCGTCCAAGCATAAGCTAAGTATTCATCTACTTTTTTTTCGGCCGAAAAAATTCCGGGTGAAAATTTCAACCGGAATATTTCGGCGAGAGAATTAAAATTAGGGCGAAAACCAAAATATTTTCCTGAATAATTTCTGCCTGAAAAGGCCACGGTATTCACATCTGGGAAATTTTCGGTAGACACGACCTCAGCTGGGAGTTAAGCCACTTATATATTTTAATTATAAACACATTAATTAAAACGTTTAATTAAAGTTTAAGATTTCTTAAAACTAGTTAAAGAGATTAGAATTAAAAAATGCGTAATCTGAATTTACAAAAGATAAATAAAGCCAAAATTTGAAATTGGCGCATCGAATTTCGGCCGAAAACGATTTTCAGGCGAAAACTTTTTCGCCTCACTTCAGCCGAAAAAAATCAAGTAAATTTCGGTCGGGCGAAAAACTGATGCAAGTTTTCACCCGAAATATTTGCCGAGGTGAATACCGTGAGGCGAAATGGGGGAAATTTTTTCACTTTTCGCCCGAAAAGTGTGTTTTCACGCGAAAAACATGAGGTGAATACTTAGCTATAGGGTGAAAAATCGCAGTCACTCATCTGAAATGACTGAATCTTTCACTCATTTTCATTCAAATCACAGGAAATTCAGTATCGAAGCCTTCTTAAACTTGAGATCTCCTCCGCCAAAAAGTGGAAAAATCTGGAGTGCAAATTTTTGGAAAATTAGGAACTCCTTTCTCTACAAATTTGTCGTCAATAATTTTAAAATAAATTCCAACAGCCGAGAAACGATTAAAAATGTGCGGATTTTGACGGTTTGAAATAAATGAAATAAAAAATCAAAACACCTTTTAATCAACCTTTCTTTTATTCAATTTCCAGAAAACAATAACATGGAAGAAGAGTTACAACAATTACGACGCAATGCAAGATCTGCATGGACAACGGGGTCGAAGTGGTCTTCCTGCCGTGTGGACATCTCGTTTCTTACACGCGTTGTGCAACCGCCTTATCAAATTGCGCAGTTTGTCGACAGCCTACGTCAAAACTTATCTCGCTTAGAAAGACAAAAAATTGTAGATTTTAATTTTTTATATGACTCCAGTTTTTTGTAGTATGTCGGAATTTTATTCAGTATTTATTGCTAATTATGTTGTGAAGATGTACCTAATTATTAGTAATTAATTAACCATTACAAGTAATTACAGCCATGTTTATAAATTGATTCTTTATCAAATTCCCCTGAAATTAAAGGAGAATACAATTTTATATAAACCTCCATTGAATCGAATTTATGCAAATATGTACCTGGTAACTGGATATGCACGAAATGAGCAATTATTGAGAAATAAATTGCTAGCTTTATAATAAATAGTTTAACCACACCTAATTTATTTCCATACGAGTGATGAACCGCATAATAAATGAGTAGAAGTGTAATTTATATTGTACTAATTGACTTTAAAAGATGCGATTTAAATTAATAAACTAGGTTGGATTTAAATTGGCTGGAGTCAAATTCTTTGATAAATCGTACATACATTTCAATTAATTAAGACGAAAAGAATTCCATACATTTTATTGAGTTAAAAATAGAACATGAAAAACCATGGTTAGAAGTCTCACTTCCCAACTAAATGATACCCTTTAGACGTAAAAGTACATATTTACATATTTATCCATTGCTATCTGCATGAGCACGTGGGCATATGCATATGAATAAAATATTTTTGCATGGAATTCTCCCCATAAGAAAATCATCCCTCATCAATTATTGAGGTCTGCTTATCATACTCCTTCTGAGAGACTTCCAGCAGAATTAGGACTTGGTTTCTCGATGGGTAAAAAAACCAGGAGCCAAAGAAATCCGCATGCTAAATCTGTCTGTCTCATTAACATATGTACATATTTTTGTGGCTCGATTCGTTCTTATCCTGCAGTATGGTTATATTTCCAGAAACAATGCTTGATTTTCTTTTTCAAAAAAATTATGAAAATTTTCCGGCGAATTTAGAGTTTTATTTATATTTGTAGATGGAACCATTCATCAATTATTGAGGTCTGCGAGTCATAAAAATATGTAACCTGAGACTTCGTATTCGTTTACCTTGGTCCACTTCGATATGCAACCTGAACCCTTTCTTCTCGTCACGATGAAATGTGTCGTCGTCACTGACCAAGCGTTGCCTTTACATATGTCGGCAGCAGAGCTTTTTAATTAGTCAAACTTTTAATTAATTAGTAATTGATAATTAGAAGGAAAATATTTTATCTAATTAATTGGTAATTAGTAATTAAACTCAGGTTGCTAATTAAGCCAATTAATTAGCTAATTAATTAGAACATTTACCAATTAATTGGTGATTTTTACTGATTTTCTAATTAATTTGTAATTAGAATTAGCTGTGGTAGTACTAGTTAATGTTAATTAGTAATTAATAATTAATTTAGACATGCTATTTAATTAGATAATTAATTAGATTGACTAATTAATTAGAAAGCCCTGGTCGGCAGATGGTTAGGACTCCATTGTTTTTAAATTTAAATTGTCCATTGTTTTGTCTCAACTTTCCCTTTTTCCACGTATTCAACTTGGCGTTTAACACTGGGCACACAATGGAACTAAAGCGACGATGTGTTGGAGGCAGAGTGAGAATTTGAGGCAGTGTGAGATTTTGAGATTGAGTGAGTTTTTTGGGCAGAAATCTGCAGCTATGTTTTCCCAGCTTTGCCGTTAGCTTTGGGGAAAAATCACCTAAAATCATTGCAGTATTTACAAAGTACATATATACATACATATTTTTGAAAAACTGTAAAAGATTTACCGAAGTATTTTTCAATTAAATCATGGCAGAAATATTGTTATGTCTAAAAACCTAGAAATATGTAAAATCATTTCGAAATTTTTGCCATCTATACGCACATTCATAAAGTCTAACTGTCAGTCGTCATCAAATGAAAAAGATGCATACATATCCGACCTTCATCAATTAGTCAATGATCTGCATCAGGATTTGCATACTCTTTACTCACTCAGTAAATGCAAAACATTGCAAAAACTTGTCCCGTCTGAGATATGAAACCTGACACTGTCTCGACTCTGATGAAGCTGCTCCAGTTTTAAGCACATCCATCCGCACAGCTGGAGATTTGTACATACTTTCATGAAATTCTTCTCATGAACTGTTAAATGTAAAATAAGTTTATGTATGAAATTTATTGATTACGCGTCTACAATTGCCCCCTGTCGTGGTGGTGGTTGCCATGGAGACGACGGGGGTGGGATTTTTGGGTGCGCGTCTCTCTTTGTTAAGTCGTAGTAAGTAAGTAAGGTGGAAAAAGTCCACACAGTCGAGTTTTAGTCGTTGTCAAAGTCAGACATTTTGGATTTTAGTCGTCGTGGTAGGAAATCAAGAGTAAGAATTGTGAATTCTTTGTAATTGATGTCCACGATTAATTTGTTAATAGTAAGTCACCAATCAACTCGTGTTAGTGCAGAGCTCTGAATTGTGTTGACAAATTAGTAATTTGTTGGAAATAAAATCTAGTTTAATTAGATAAAATAATCGTATATTCACTCAGTCGCTTTCTTTAATTCCAACGAGCAAGGCACAATTAAATATTCGTAAAGACACTATACTCCGGGTAGGTGATAGCTTGGTTTTTACATGAACCAAGTCAACAAAAAGGGTGTACAAAATTGGTAATAACTCATGAATGACACATGCTGCGTAGGTATTTGCTACAGTGGGGCATACCTGTTCACTTTCATTCATTTGAGTGATTATGATACTGAATGAAAATGAATTTCCTGTGACTTGAGTGAAAATGAGTGAAAGATTCCGCCATTTCTGATGAATGACTGTGAATGAAAGATTTTTCACTAATTTAATTTTTCACCCTATGCTTATGTAATACATGGCGTGAAGTAAGAAATGAAGTCAGATGAAGTGAAGTGAAATGAATTTGAAGGAAAATGAGTGAATATGAATGAAAATTTTCAGTCAGAAATTGGGATGACTAACTTTTGAATGAAAACTAAATTTTTGAACAGGTATGCACTGGGGAGCAAGAAGTGCAAACAAGTGCGAGAAATATGCGCCATCCAGCAACGCGCCGTATTTACAGCGGGATCGCGTTATTTCTTGCGCCTTGCATTTCTCCCAGGGAAAAATATTTCCCTGCAAGAAAACCACTTTCTTCTCCTCCTTATTTCTTAATTTGGCCCAATTTTCTGCCCAAAACCTTTACATATGTACACTCTTAGAAACCTGGTATTGAAAAAAACCTAACGGTATTGATACGTGACTCTACCGCCTTGGTATTAAACGGTTATACCATATTGGTATTGGACCGGTATTGAAATTATACCTCATGGTAGTAATTTTAATACTAATTGGTATTAAATTTTTTACCACGTAGTATTAATTCAATACCGGATCAATACCACGCGGTAGAGTCACGTATCAATACCAACGGTTATTGATTTTTTTAAGAGTGTAGGGCAAATTGTTGCGCAGAAATTCCACGCCTTCCTCGACCACTAGTTTCCTTCAACTTATTTAATTCGCTGCTACAATTACGGCGGATATCGCTACTTAATTTTTAAGTGTGCTTCACATCTTAACGTCTCTGGTTACTGAGTATATGTAGTAATTAAAAAAATGCTGACTCTGCTTTATCAAAGTTCATGACAAATTTCGCTCTACGAATGAAACTATGAATGTCTTGCTCATGTTAAAGATGTAAATTTCCTCGTGGATGGAAACCATGTGCCTTGATGGGAGACGAAATTGGATACTTTTATTTTGCATAAAAGAACCAGTGTTCCGTTTTTCACAAAACCTTGGACCTAATAACTCTTTTGGACCCTGTCCAAAAGTGTCCAAAACTGCGCGAAACAATTTTGGACAACTAAAATGTCCAAAATTGACCTAAATGTTACAAGTTGTTTCAAAATGAACGACTTTTTTTTGCAAATCTATGCACAGATATGTATGAATCTCCCATTAATTAAGAGCATTTTAGTGAGTTTTTAATACCACGAAATTTAGTAAAACTTTCGTTTTAACAAGTTTTCTTGCTAACAAGAAAGTTAACAAATTTCTCCAACCATGCCGCATTACGGCAAAATTCTAAAAATTATTTCGAGATTACGAATCATACATTTGTAAAAAAAGTCGTGACTCCATTTTCTATTTTGCACACTTTTTCCCATTTTGAGCACGTTTTGACATTTTGCACGTTTAAAAATTCCTTCTCCAAAACTGGTTAAAACCACGGCGAAACCCTGGAAAAGATGAATGCCTTACTGGGAAAAAAGATATGTGCTGATGTCTCAAAATGCATGCATGCGTAAATAACTTCATCCACTCGTCAGTTAATTAATTCTCTCCAAGGATTCTCTTTGCTAGAGAAATCTACATAAATCTGCATAAATCTACATTTTCGAAAAATTTCAAAATTTAACAAGGTTACGCAGAAATGGGTAAATATATTTTAAATACATTTTTTACACGCACTTTTTACCATATTTTTTATAAAAATATTAATAAGACGCATAGAAACTTATTTTTTTGCAACCTCCTCGAGTAGATATTCCAAACTTTACGCTGTTTTAAATTATTTTGTAAAATTTTTACAAATATTTTAGTTTAAAAAAAATATTCATGAAAAACATTTCGGCCATTTTTTCAAAAATACAAATTTCCAGGCTTAAAAACATTTCTGCTAATAATTCGAAATATTTCCAGCCAAACGATGTCCTTCCGCCGAATTGGGGAGCGCGTCCCCGGCCCAACTGCCAAATCCGACCACGGTTCAGGATGAAATCGGTAAAAATTTGGGCATCCAAAATCTTTAGTTTTTTTTTAAATCGATTTTACAACTGTTCAAAAACCGAATTTTATACCCAGTCAAACCCCAGTTATCGATTTTTGATAAAACAAACTATTTTGGAGCTAATGTTAAATATTTCTCATTTTTTAAATAAGAATTAATTTTTCTGAAATGCCTCATTACCAAGGCAATATTTAATTTTAACTTTGCATTACATTTTTAGCTATTATATTTACAAACGTTTTAAAACTTGGACAAAAACCGATTTTTAAAACAGTTTAAACCCGGTTTTACAAAGAATTGAAAAGTGGTTTCTGAAAATTTTCCGAAATCAAATTATTGAAAAACCGATTTTGCCAAAATTGGAAAAACGGGTTTTTAAAATCGTCCCATTTTAGACGCCTAGTCTGACAATGCGATGGTGTGAAGTGTAACCCTCCGATTTGGTTGAAATTTTGAAATTATGTGGTCTATGTCAATAGAACCAACGTTTCTTGATTGCGGCAGTTTGTGCGATGGTCAGAATTTGCCAAAATTTTTTAGCATGATTTTTAGCACAGGAATAGAATGGAAGTTGAGTTTGCTTCCTCCGCGTGCGAAAATTTCAACTTTTACCTCAAAAATTTTGGCAAATTCTGACCATCGCACAAACTGCCGTAAGAAACAACGTTGGTTGTATTGACGGGGACCACATAATTTCAAAATTTCAACCAAATCGGAGGGTTACACTTCACACCATCGCATCGTTAGTTAACAATAATTTTTAAATATTTCCAGCCCAACCCTCTTCTACTTCCGACTTTTGGGCGTCATCCCCAACCCAACTGCCAACTCCAACCACGCCCTCGGATCAGGGTAAAAATTCATTCGAAATATTTTCCAATTAAACAATAATTCTGAAATGTGAGAACCCCATGTATTACGTCATCAAAAAGGTGGGTGGGTTTGGGTTTGGGTCGCTCATCTTACCCATGATAAGCTAAATAACATGGGGTAGGAAAAATTAGGAATGGGCGGGTGGTTTAAAAAGAGGCATATTTAAAGACCATAGAGTTTGATATTTACATAGAAGACGTTACTCATGGCCAGATTTCAACGCGGAAATAAGGATAATTATAGATAATCGATAAGCCGTTAAAATTTCGATGTTCAAAATTTTTAAAAATACTAAATTGTGTTTTTTTAAATTTAGAAATTTAAAAAGTAAAACTGTAACTCTGTGCGTAATACGTGGGCGTCCCTATATTTACAGCCCAACCAGGTCCTTCCTCCGCAGGGACGTCGTCTTTCCCCCTGGCCACGCCCTCGGTTACGGAGAACCCCAGCCCGGAGAGGATTATGACGTCGTTGAAAATTCTGAGCACGGCGATGTCATGGCGACAACAACAACAACGAAAATATTCAGAGAAAAATAGCAGTCCGCAGAGGTGGGCAAATAATAAAAAATACTATATTTTTCCAATGTCAAATGTATTAATATTTCAAAATACCATATTTTGAGCTCGGTTATTCTCAGGGTTTGGATTTCCTCCAGGGCTGTTACACCCACAAAAAGACGAAAATCCATGTCGAAAAGGCAACAGTGTTACACAAAATTCGCATTTTTAACTTTTTATCGCGATCAAAATACTGCATTTTAAGAATGTTTGAAAAAAAAACATTTAATGACTGCTAAATGTTTACCGGGAAGACAAAAGTTAGTCGAAAATACAGGTTTTGCGAAGAAATTAACTTACCCCGGAAAAATACTCAGTTTTCACGATTTTCTAAAAATACAACATTTTTTCATAAATAAAAAGCCAATTTCTTCATAAAAAAAGCCATATTTTCGCACGACTGCTGTCTTCCCCACGTAGATTTTCGTCTTTTTGTGAGTGCAACAGCCCTGGAGGAAATCCAAACCATGGTAAGAACCGAGCTGGTGTACATTTTAACCAAATATTTTGCCCATCCCTGCCAGTTTGTCGGTGCCCTGTCCCAATTGTCACCAGCAGGTCGTGATCGACCCTAAAATTCTGGATGAGGCGAAAAACCCTCGGAAGCCCACCACCTTAGAAAACAGAAAGAAGGTGACGATTTTTATATTTTATTAAAAATTCTATTTTTGATTTTTTTTCATGAGAAAAATTGTTTTTTTTAATTATTTTTCGTCTATTTTATTTTCATTTTCTCACGGAATAAAGAATCAAAATTCTTCCACAATTTTGCCAATTTTGCCATTGTAATTTTTGCCAATTTTACAATTTTGCCATTGTAAAGAGTTGTACTGTAAATGAGTTGTGGGTATTATAATGTTAAGCATTTTTACACTCCTATGCATTTAAATTCGGGATGGAATCGTAAAAATTTTAAATGAATACAAAATTTTAACTTATATATTTTGAGACTAAATTATTAATGAGCCAGAGACAAAGAACGAGCTCAAAAATTGAAAATTATAAATTTTTAAATTTATTTGGAATTTTTATCAGCGAGCTTAAAACTTCAATTTTGCACAAGACAGTACAAAATTAAGGTCAACTCATCGCCATGAAAAATGTTTAAGGTTCGATTGTATGAGGTTTTGAATTTAAATTTGTTGTCTCAACTTTCCCTTCTTGTATGTATTCAAATGACGATTTTGAAATGTGTTAATCTCCTTGCGTTTTTTAAAAAATGAAGATTTTATTCCATCTAAAAATCGATAATTTTTAGGTTTTTCAAGACAGAATTTTGATGTTTTTTCTTCCGTGAGAAAATGGAAATAAAATAGAAGAAAAATAATATGAAAAAATGACTATTTTCTCCTAGAAGAAAAAATAATCAAAATTCTACCCTCCGAATTTTCTAAACCTAAAAATTATTTTTAGACGCAATAAAATATTTATTTGGGGCCGTCCATAAATTACGTAATTATATACACGATATTACGTAATTTATGGACGACCCCTTCTACAGAAAAACGCGAGGAGATGGAAACGTTTCAAAATCTCCAAATGAATACATGCAAGAAGGGAAAGTTGAGATCACACAAATTCAAATTCAAAACCCGGATCCAATGGCACCTTAAACAAAACTGAACAATTAACCATTTCAATCCTTTCGTTACTATTTTTAGGAAATCGCGTTGCGCTCCCAGGGCAAAGAATTGCCCGCGTGGCTGCAAGCTTATCGCTCCGGGCAGACGATGGACGCGGCCAAGCTGCTTCATCTGCAATATTTTGGGCGCAGCGAGAATAGCGCTTCCGAGCGCCTAAAGCCCAGCATCGAGGTTCCCGAGGCCCCCACGTCGTCGTCGGAACAGGGACCCCCGTCAACCGTCGGGCCCGAGAAAAACACGCCGACTCAAGTGTTGGCACTTCCGTTGTAGACAAACATTTCCAGCTTATAATATAGAAGATAAATTTTTTCATGGACATAAAACTTATACTCGATGTATGAATGTACGTATGTAAATTTAATTCACACTGATACTGATACTAACAATTAATTTAGCTTTAACAAATTATAATAAGCCATCGATTAATTTGCATATTAATATCTCCACCCAAAACTATAAACCAGCTCCAATTTACAAAATGTAATGATTTTTAACGCCATATCAAAACACAAAATGCATCCACAAAAATGTTCTTAAACCAAAATTTATTACCTTTCTCAATTAATTAATTACATAATTTTACTTTTAACAAAACACAAAATGCACCCACAAAAAATTCTCTTTAAACCAAAATTTATTAAATTTTCAATCAGTTACTTTCATAATTTTACATGAAACAAAGCACAAAATGCATCCGCAAAAAATTCTCTTTAAACCAAAATTTATTAACTTTTTAAATCAATTAACTTCATAATTTTACTTTTAACAAAACACAAAATGCACCCGCAAAAAATTCTCTTTAAACCAAAATTTATTAAATTTTCAATCAGTTACTTTCATAATTTTACATGAAACAAAGCACAAAATGCATCCGCAAAAAATTCTCTTTAAACCAAAATTTATTAACTTTTTAAATCAATTAACTTCATAATTTTACTTTTAACAAAACACAAAATACATCCGCAAAAAATTCTCTTCAAACCAAAATTTATTAACAAATTAATTTCACAATTTTATTAACGTCTCCTCCTTCTTGCTAATTCCTTATCCTTAATCACCTTCCGTACCACAAGCCCCGTTCCAACGCCGGCCGCCACCAGCACCGCGGCAGCAAACCCCACCGGCCCCACAATAGCGAACCCCCCAAGCCCCGGTCGACTGCAGGGACGCGAATAACGACTCCGCCGCCACATTTCCGATTCCCGACTGAATCCCCGCCGCAATTCCCGCGCTCGTAAATCCCGCCGAGCTCAGGGCCGCCGTCGCCACGGTGGGGACCACCACGCCCGCCGCCACGCCAGCCCGGTCGTAATTACGGCGATTTCTGCGATACCATGCTCTGACGAGGGTTCAAGTTCTGGGGACGTGAATTTTCCGTGGGTTCGATTTTTGCAATTGTCCCGAGAAACGGGGAAAAAGAAAATCCGGGTAAATTGGGGCCGAAAAAGGTCCCCCAACGGAGAGCTTACGTTACGAGTGTTCTCCCTAAAAAATTCGTAAAGTTTGCTCCGAAACGGGGAATTCTGGAAAGTTTTGAATATTTTTGGGAATTTTCCAGTATTTTAGAGAAAGTTTCGAATAGTTTTGGAAATTTTCCAACATATTAGAGGAAGTTTCGAATACAGTAGTTCTAGGAATTTTCCAAAATTTTAGAGAAAGCTTTGAATATTTCTGGGAATTTTCCAATATTCCCAGAAACATTCTAAAAAAATTTCTACAGTGCGTTTTAAAGTTCTTTTCCGGTTAATAAGCCTCTTGTCTCGGTTTTCGCCCCTTTTTCTACGGCAACCGCAGTTTGCACTATAAATCGAACCTTCGGAATTTTCCTCTTCCTCCGAGTCTTCGGCGCATCTTTGTGACACATTTTTTTCCTGCAAGTTTAACTTATCAGATAATTAAAACCAGTGGCCGCGGAAGGAAGTGTATGGACAGAGGGACAATGTCCCCACATTTACTCGATGTCCCCATTATCTCCCCATCTCATACAAACCCAGCCCTCCCCTATCCTACAATCGCAATGTCCCCACATGTCCCCACGGCTACTGATTAAATAGACATGCTAAGATGCAGGGTGGTTTATATGTCAGGTTACAATGGAAAAAATTCCTAAACTTCACGGATTTGGGATTGAGATTTTTACTAATTTTTATCAAACCTTATGGAACACTGATTACAAAATTCTTAAAATATTGAACTTCAGAGGCAAAATTTCGGTAACTAATGGAGACTTGCGATCATTGTAACCCGACATTTAAACCACCCTGTATTAACCTATTTATTTGTGATAATCATACCTTTTTGATGTTAGAACTCCTATTCTCCATCCTGCTCCTGCTGCTTTTGCTTTATTCCCTTGAATTTTTCACCAATTTTAGTAATACTGTTTGTACCACAAACTAATTATAAGAACCCGTCATGCATTTAATCCGTTTACTTATGTACAAACGGAATATGTACGTAAATAAATATCTTAAAAAATCTACTATTTTATCGAATTTCTTCGTTTTTTTCTCTAGGCTTAAGTATAGTTTAGGTTTTCTATGGATGATTTTAGAAATTCATTTTTCTAGATTTAGACAGGTTTTTCGACAAATTTTCTGACTTTTTTTAAAATTTCTGCGATACACTATTTCACTGGTATATACGAATAAATTAAAATAAAATCTAGCAGTATCTAACTACAAAAGTCCATTAACTTAATGCGTATTGGGTTATTGTTGCAGTAAAAAAATGCGATTCTTACTGCTCTTTATACTACATTCGAACATCTGTAATTGTTGCTTGTAATGAGAATATGTAGGATTACGTATTAAACGTGTTACTACATATGATAGTAAAGAGAACAAGTTGAATTAATACGGAAGATTTATTTAAATATTCATCCATGGATGGAATGCATCCTGCATGTGTAAACTTTACAAAACTTGTGTAAGAAATCCACAAATGCTATTCGGGAAGTCGTCGCTTCGTCAAATCTTTAATATTTATATGCCCCCCTACGAAAAATCGCGAACTTGGCCATGTTCATATCCATTGAACGTATAAAATTCAATATTTTCTTCACAGATTCTTCTCCAAACTAGAAACAAATTCAGAATCAGTGCAAATATGTAAATAATATTAAATTTCATTTCAATTAATTTGAATAACATCTCACATAAATGTTATCGATGATGACCTTGTCCTCAACTGCATCCATCGCGACGAGAACTTGCTTAAGCTGCTCCATCTCGTCCGCGAACAGCCTGGCGCGCACTATTTCGCGATGCGCCATAATTTCAAACGTTTTCAAGCCTGAATCAAAATAGGGAAAAAATAAGTAAAACAATAAAATGTGACAAAATTTGCAGAAATTTTCGCAAATTGTGAAACCGTCATGCTTTCAATAATCTTCTAAAAAAACTTATTGATCCATTACATCGGCATCAGAGGACATTTTAACTTGAAGTATTTATTGTTGCAAGCTTTCGATATTCATACAGAATTTCTTCATCAGGCAAAAATATATTTGTAAACTAAAATTCATGTGTACGTTTCCTCCTCCAAGTCAAGTTTTGTTTGATATCAAATAATTACATGGTTACATTTATAAATTTTTACGTGGACTTTGAGGGCTATTGTGTATATGTTAAAAAGTTTGTTAGTGTACTTGACCAGATAGGGCTGACTGCGACTCCTCTCGAAATGTTCATCTTGTTAGTGGTACTTTTGATGAACAGTGCTTCTTTAAATTTCCGAAAATATCTTCTAGGTTCTTTTAGAATTAATTTATACGAATTTGGGTCCAAATTGTGTTCATGTTCATGCATGTGTAGAGCAACAGGAGATAATCTTACATTTCCACTTCTAATGGCATGAATGTGTTCCTGAATTCTTGTAGTATAATCACGTCCTGTTTCTCCAATATACTTTGCTGGACAATTACTGCATTGAATTGAATAAATCCCACAATTTATTGTTCTCGGTTTCTCTTTAGTGTTGGTTAGCATTCTGGATAACTTCGGGCCAGGAATGTAACCTATTTTCATTTCTAGTTTTCTTTCTAGAAATCGTGCAATTTTTGTGGTGGTTTCACCTGCCCACGGTAAAATAATTCTTTTGACTGGTTCGCCTAGTGAGTTGTTGTTATTGTTATACTGCATTTTGTTTTTGACTTTCTTCAGTCTGTATTCAATCATTTTTCGTGGGTAATTATTTTCTTCCAAGATTTTGATTGTGTATTTGATTTCATTCTCTAAATGGTCTTCATCTGACAGTCTTAAAGCTCTTGTCAGCAGGGTATCCGTTACGCCAATTTTGTGTGCCGGGGGATGAAAAGAGTGATAATTCAGGTACAAGTTTGTATGCGTAGGCTTCCTGTAAATTTGATGACCAATCGAGTTGTCCGGTTTCTTGTACAGCATGAGATCCAGGAAAGGTAATTGTCCCTGTTGTTCATCCTCAAATGTGAATTGAATGGATTCATGGAACGAATTGATTAGACTTAAAATGTGGCTTTTCCTTCGAATCCTTATTATGGCAAAGACGTCATCCACAAATCTACGCCAGTAGATAATGTTGCGATTGTTTTTGACAAGCTTTTTTTCCAATTCTTGCATAAATATTTCTGCGACTATTGGTGAGATGGGGGATCCCATAGCGGTACCTTCAGTTTGGTGATAAAATTTGCTATGGTATTTAAAATAGGTGGATTTTAAGCAAATTTTAATCAGCTCCATTAGATCATTGATTGAGAGTTTTGTCAGTTCATTTAGGTTATCATAATCTTGAAGTCTTTTTTTGATGATTTTCAGGGTCTCTTTTATGGGAACTTTTGTGAAAAGTGAGACAACATCAAAAGAAATCATTTGATCCCCTGGTCGTATTTTGATATTTTTTATTCCTTTCACGAATTCTTCTCCATTTTTGACAGTATATTCATGTTTCGAGGCTACTTTCTTCAAAATGTTGGACAACATTGCTGCAAGATTATATGTAGGGGAACTTCTGAAATCTACCACCGGCCGGAGAGGTGTGTCTGGTTTATGCACTTTAGGTGCACCGTAGATAAGTGGAGCTCTGGGAGTTTTTTGATTTATTTTGGAGTATTCTGCATCAGATAACTTTTCATTTGTTTTCAATGAACTTGAGTGGACTTCAATTAAATCTGTAAAAAAACTTACCTTTGTACAATTCCTTAGCATCCAACAAAGTCTGGATAACATCCTCGATTTCTTTCGGAAACGTGGGCACCGCAATGTCAAAATGTTTCAAAGCCTTCCAACCCACACACGCCTTGAGAACCACGCCCAACTCCATCCCACTTACGCCCCCACGCCAGTCCGTTCTTTGATAAGTATCCAAATCAAACTTCTCCACGTTTGGAAACGCTGTCATCAATTCGTCCAAAAATGCCGGATCGTGGATCTCGCGAATCATTAAACTCGTCACGTTTCCAAAGATTTTTTTCGTGTCGAAAATGTTTTTCAAAATTTCATCCAGACGTTTGGACCAGGTAAATGCCTTCCCAATCACGAGTGTTTTCAGGCTGGTGGCATTTTGCAAGTAGTCGCTACACTCCAAAATGTCGACAATATCGTTGCGAAAATTTTGTAATTTCGACATCCTTCTGGGCAAATAGAATGCAGAATTGTTGAAGAAATCGAACTCCGCTGACTCCATGTTGAACTTATCGTCGTCACAGCCAAAAGATAAGGTGACGAGTTGATCACCGACTTGACCCAAGATTCTCGACAGGTTTGAAAGCTGGTCGTTGGCGCGAGCGATGTCGAGAGGACGAACGTTGTGCAATGCGATGATTAGGGAGGAGAGGGATTTAGAATTTGCGAAATTTGGGTAAAATCCCCATGGAATTGTGACCTCCTGTAAATTTGGCGAGACTTTGACGACCTCCTCGACAAATAGGGTGAGAAATGGGGTCACCAGCTTGGAAGTTAGGGTGAAAATGGTCAATTTTTCTTTTGGTGGGAAGCGTTGCAGAGTTTCCTGCTTGCCAGAAGTATTCGACTTCGTGAATGTGCCGGAAATTCGCAACCGTTTCAAATTCGGACAGCAATTTTGCAGGATTTGGTAAATCGCTGGAAGACAGACTTCAAATAGGATGGAAATGTCCAAAACTCCGACCAGGTCGCCAAATTTGTCACAAACGTGGATAAGTTTGGCGGAGAAAGAGTTGTTGAAAACGTTGTGGTTTAAGGAACGGGCGGAGCACGTGGCGTTTATCCGTTTCGCGAGTCGGTCCTCCATCTTGAAACAGAGTGCGAGAAATGGGACAGGATCGTTTGGGAAACGTTCGTCCTTGTGGTGAAGATTTAGCGAGAGTCTCGTATTTGGAAGGGAGAGGACCACTTCATTCCAGAAGTGGGAAACGAGTCGACAAGTTAACAAAGGGGCGGAGGTCTTTTTCAATATTTCCGTCAAAATCTGAAAAAAACAGGAAAAAATATTAATTTTGCAAATTTTTTACAATTCATGACAATTTTATATTTTGATTACAATCGGATTATTTAGTGCGATCTGCTGCGCGCTCCTTTCTTCGTGAGGAAGCTCCATTTTCGGTAAAACCTGAGTTCAATTAAATATAAAGGTTCGATTGAGTATTTAAAAAAGTTAAAGTTATTTCAACATGAAATTATTTCATGTCTTTTCTATACAATTTCCATTTCCATTAATAAGTAACAATATTCTGTAAAGCCTTACCAAACTCTGAAGTTGATTAATATTCAAGTGAAGTGTGAAATTTACAAGTAATTAACTGACAATATTTAACAGTATAAAAATATTTGCAATTTTTTTAATTTGCCGTGCCAAATTTATTCGTCCCGCGCAACCCATCAATCTCAATTTCCTCGTCTCAATTGTTCATCCTGCGCGACAACAACATGTGTTCTCTCGCCAAGAAGGGCGAATTTTCACGTAATTAATTTCACAAATTTTATACTTCGCCAGAATATTGAGCAACTTCACGGTTTGGTAAAATGTTACAGAATTTACTAGCATTAGCTCTAAATTTTAATGAAATATGAAGTGTTTAACGTTTGCAAATGCTTAATTTAAAGTATTACAATTTTGATATTTAATTTAACCCAGGTTTGATGCAAAATGGAATCTCCTCAGGAAGAAACAACAAGCGTGCACCAGATCGCACTAAATAATCCGATTGTGAGCAAAATAGAAAATTTTAAATAAAGTAAAAATTCCAATATTTTCTCCTGCCTTTGACCTTTCAGATCTTGACGGAAATATTGAAAAAGAGCTCCACCCCGTTGAAAACTTGTCGACTCGTTTGCAAATTCTGGAACGAAATGGTCCTCTCCCTTCAAAATCCGAGACTCGCATTAAACCTGGCCAAGCAGGACGACGATTTTACATGCGATCCTGTCCCATTTTTCGCACTATGTTACAAAATGGATGACCGTTTGGCGAAATGGGTCAGCACATGGAGTGACCTTCCCGAGGATGAGATGGAAATTAGTGGAGCCAGCCAAGCCAAGTTGATGCACCTTTGCGACAAGTTTGGCGATCTCGTCGAAATTCTGGACGTTATCATCCACGACGAGGAAGACTACCTAAATTCAATCCATCTAATCTTGCAAAATTGCTGTCCGAATTTGAAACGGTTGCGAATTTCGTCTCCATTTACGAATTTGTATTATCATAACTACAAGAAAATTCTGGAGGGGCTCCCCCCTAAAGTAAATTTGACCTTTTTCTCAGTTACTTCCAAACTGGTGACCCCATTTCTCACCAATTTTGTGCAGGAAGTGGTCAACGCCGCGCCCAATTTAGCCGAGGTCACGATTCCATGGAAAGTTTTTCCAGATTTGGCGAATTCTAAGCGTATCCACTCCTTAACCATCGCTTTAGACGGCGTTCGACCAGACGACATCTTTCAAGCGGACGACAAGCTTTCCCAACTGGAGAAAATCTTGGCGCAAGTTGGTGATCAGCTTGTCACCTTACGTTTCGGCAGCGTCACCGACAAAGCCGTCATACCCACGGGTTTCAACTCTTTCAAATATTCTGGATTCAATTTACCGAAAAAGATGTCGAAATTGCAGTACTTTCGAAACCACATGGTCGACATTTTTGAGTGCGGCGACTTCCTGCAAAATACCAAGAGTCTGAAAACGCTCGTGCTTGGGAAGGCATTTACTTGGTTGAAAAGTCTGGATGAAATTTTGAAAAATATTTTCGCCAAGAAAAAGATCTTCGGAAACGGGACGAGTTTGACGCTTCGGGAGATCCACGACCTCAGACTTTTCGACGGATTGAAGGCAGCGTTTCCGAACTTGGAGAGGCTGGCGTTGGACACGTATGGCGAAACGGACTGGCGTGGACGCGTGAGTGAGATGGAGTTGGACGTCGTCCTCAGGGCCTGCGTGGGTTGGAAATCGTTGAAACACTTAGACCTTGCGCTGCCCACGTTTCCGGAAGAAATCGCGTATGTCATCCACGATTTGTTGTATGCTGGGGACTTGTACAAACGTGAGTTAAAGAATTTGCGGAAATTTGTGCAGTTTTTTTTGCACACTTTTTGAACCCTTTTGAGAATTTAATTCACTCTGAATTCTATAAGTAAATTATACGATATGATATCCAAAGTAAACTTACTCATTATCTTATCAAATTAACGTTACCTTGGATTTAACATAGTTTACTTACGATTGAATTCGGCGTGTATTTGCTTTCAAGAAAAGGGAATCATTATTTTTAAGAGTAAACTACACACGCAAGGTTTCAGAATTTGTGAAAATTTCTGTAACGGATTTTCATATTTTAATTCAGGCCTGAAAACCTTGCAAATTATGGGGCATCGCGAAATACTGCGATGCACGCTGACCGACGAGGAGCTGGAGAAGTTTAAGCAAGTTATCGTCGCGTTGGATGCCGTTGAGGACAAAGTCATCATCGACAACTTTTCTGTAAGAGATGTTCTGGATTTGATTATGCAAATTTATATATTTTTTTTTACATACATACATATTTGTACTGATTTGTTTCCAGTTTGGGCAAGAATCTGTGAGCAATATAAAGGATTTCATACGTGCAAATAAAATGAACCTGCCCAAGTTCGCGATATTTTTGGGGGGGAGCTTATCTTAGCTAGCGACTTCCGTGACATAATGTATGGATTTTTGACACCTTTTGTGTAAGAAACATTACACTTTTTCCTTTCTTAAATTTTGTAGAATTTGCACATGTTTCTTTAATAAATAAATAAATAAGTCTGGATGAAAAATTGTACGTGCTATTTCAATTTTTTGTCTTGCTCGGTTTGTTTTGGTTTTGTCCTCCTTGTTCCAAGGAACAGAAATAAGACCAGAAATTTCTGAATCTTGTCGTTAGAAGTTTTCTGTCATGATTCATGACTCATGAATAACATTTACTACCACAACATGTTAAAATTCTGAAGTACATTAAAACAAAATCCCATTTGGCGAAAAAAATATTTCACCCATTCTACGGCATTTTCAGTGCAAGGTTTTTAATTTACCATTTAGCGAAAAAAATGTCACATTTGGCGAAAATGACGATTGAGTAATCAAAATTACAGCATTATGCAATTGGACAAAGCTTCCTGAATCATACTAGATATTAATTGAAACGATTTAAACCTAATGCCAATGCTAAATAAATATATTACAATCATGATTCCCACACTACCTCCTGCAAAAAAATGAGAAAAGCCATTTTCGCAGGCTTGCATGCTTACTATTTTTTATGTATGCACACTGGCCCAGCCACACAACTCAATTAGTACATAAATTGTCTAATTTCAAATATGTACGTGGGGTTATGGACCTCTACAAGAAATTGGGTGATAGGCGTTATCACCGCGCGAGTGGAAATAGCAAGCGTCACCGTAATGGTGATAAACCTATCACCGTTATTTGTCACCATTAGTGGTGGTAGCCACCAGTACCCTTACGAGGGGCTGCCAGGTGGGTATTTTCCCCAGGGCCGGGCCCTGGAGTCCACCAGAAAAAATTACATGGACAATCATTTAAATAATTATTTCGAAGATTTTGAGTTGTTGCATAGCGTGATAATATTGAACCAAAAAGAAACAACAATTAAAAACGGTTACTCTAAAATGAAATCTATAAAGCTAACAATGCACGTGTCAGACATGTTTCGCACAGATCTTTTTCTAACCATCACTAAAATATCAAATAACTAAACACAAACAAGACTTGGGGTGACACTTGAGCATTTCTGCAGAATTCGCGAAATGACTAAGGGTTTAAGTTGGCAAAAATGCGCATTTTCAACATGCGAAACTATACGGAGTTCATCTCTCCGCTTCCCGATTTTCTCCTACGCTTCTCTTATCCAGGTCATCCGTTTTCACATTTCGTTCTAAATTTAGTTGATTAAATTCCCGACCAAGTTCTCATCCGCTTTTTGATGTCTTTTAAATATTTTTTTAACAATTTTTAATATTTTAAATGGATTCAATTAACTTATAAGTAATCGGTGCAAATTATTACTGTTTTTAATTGGTTCAGAATAGTGGGCCCGATTGTTTAATCTCTTTCATAATGCGCATTTTTATTTGTAAACCTATTTGAGCATAAAAACCAAACACACAAAGTGTCCTATGCGTGCGATAAGTGCCAACATCACGCAATTTCATAAGATTTTTGTCATCAAAATCTTTAAAAACCCACAACGCGAAAGAAAAAAAAACGAATCCACTATTCTGAACCATTATTTCAAAACTCCACTGACAAGAAGTTAATTAACTTCTGTTTGAAGGGTTTAGAAAACCCCGGGGTTTCTCTAGAAAAACCCAACCCCGAGGGTTTGTCCGGGGTTTTTGGGGTTTTGTAGGTTTTTGGGTTTTTGTAGGTTTTTGGGTTTTTGTGGATTTTTGTAGATTTTGAGGCAGATTGAACCAAAATTCCTAAAATTATATATTAGAGAAGACTAGTTTAATATACGAATTTAGCGTGCAATTTTAAAGTTATCATTGACTTGGACTGTTAAATCGAAAATTAGGATTTAACAAGTAAACTTGGAAATATGCAAGATATTTGCAAATTCAAGTCGAACATGAAAATTCTCAAAATTTCATGATGAATCCGGAAATGTAATTAGCATTGACCTAAGTTGTTGTTTAAAAGATTTTGTTTCTATCTAGCTCAAAATCTTACAAAAACCTAGGAAAACCCCACAAAAACCCCATTGAGCATTAGGGTTTTTCCAGAGATTTGTTACCCTAATAACCCACGAAAACCCAGGGTGGCGAACCCTGGCTGTGAGAAACATGTCTGACATGTGCATTGTAGGTAAAAATATCTTAATTTTGGTGAAAGATTACGTAGAAATATTCGCAGTAAAATGAGCCAAAAGCAGTCTGTGGTTGATTTTCGTACATGATTAATTCTAGAAATTGTGCAGTGAAAGCTGTTTTAATTCCAAGAAGTGGCCTGGATATTGATCAATAATAAAATTACATAGATTATCACAAGACCTTTCCATGGATATTTAGCATGTTGGTCAAAATGAGTTCAGGCGTTTCTATGTAAAATGTGTGCCTAAAAAATAACCTTTAAGCTTTACAAAGAATCAGTACAAAGTGTAAAAAAACGAAAACCACAGCTTCTGATAATTTTTAGTAGCGCACAATTTATAATTGCTATTGTCGAAATTCTCGAAAACCAATTTATGCTAAGTGCTGATTTAATACATAAAAAAGTTAGTTTCTCTCTACCCCACACCAAAGATTAAATTTAAAAATTGAGACAATTATCCTAAGTTCGCAACGACAGTCAACACACTCAACAATCTAACAAAATTTAGAATGCTATCTACATCGTGGCTAAGAATTATCTCACCACCCAAAAAGCTGAGACTTTTTGGTTGTCGTGTTCTCAAAACTAATTTTTTCCGACAATGTCACCCGGACTTGTATCTTCATTTGTGGAGAAAAAAAGTCCACGCGGCATTAACAAAATTCCGAGTGCTTAACAAAACTTTGCGTTAATTTCAAAATTCTGAATTGGCAACAGGACATATCAGAAATCCGTCGACATTAACATGAACTCCTTACTCATATTCTAATTTAGATTTCGTTCAAATTTTGTAGCAAAATGTGTTGCAACTGCGGTCCCAAATTTACGGCTACACTCAAAATAAACTGGTAATAAAATGATGACAATATTTACTACCACTTGATGGTAATTACCCCTAATACCACTTGAGGTAATAAAATCATTACCGAAATCTTTACCAGACTCCGTAAGGGGCAGTCTTAAAGCGAGGGTAATAAAATGTGAAATGCGTAGTATCAAAAATGTTACCAAGATTTATACCATTTGGAATAATTTTTTCTTAAACTGGGAAATATGGGCATCATTACCTCTTTGTAATAAAACCTCTTCAGAGTCTAATATTTCCTCATCATAGGGTAAACAAATCTCAACCTGACCAAGTGGCGGTTTGTTTAAATCTTTTCATTTTATTCGCCATTTTATTTCCACGCAAATGTTATTTCCAAAATGGCTAAATTAGTTCGTGTTGCTAACCTCACAAGAGGAAAGAAATTGATTATATTCAACGAAGACTATCACTTATTTGCAGAATCTGGTAAGTACTTTTACTTTATTTTTAAATTATACCAATTTGATATTTGTAAAAACAAATAAAATATAAATACTTAATATTTTAAATTTGTTTTTCAGTAAAGATAAAGTTCGGAGTTGATGCAGAGATAAACATTCGTTTTGAAGATGACCAAGGAGCAGAAGTAGACGATGACATTTTCCCAATTTTAATGGCCCAAGATCAAATCCCAAATTTGGTTTTGATTGTAACAGGAGAAGAAAATCCGATTGTATTTGGTAAGTACCGTAAGTATTTTAAATTAAAAGTTCATCTAAAAATGTAACATTGACACAAGTTTATTCTAATCATTAGTTGAGAACCCCCTATCCCCATTGGTAAGCTCAACAAATCAACCACTCTTATTAACTAGCAGGGATGATGAAGAAATAGAAAATTATAAGCAGGTAAGTTGCTAAACTCTTTACAATTATCCAACTAAACTTAAATGTTAATTTCTTTGACATCAAGTATCATATTTACATACTTATTATTAACGAGTATTTCAGATTCTATTGGCGCACCTCGAGCAGAACCGTCATCTAAATCAATTAGTTGAGCAAACAAACGAAAAGGCCTGCGTCGATTCTGAAGTTTCGTCAATTTTGATTAAGGATTTTGTAGCCTTATTTGTTCAACTGAAGGGGTACAAATGAATCCACGTAATTCTATACATTATTAACTAGCACCTGTAAACTTGATTAAATATTTTGCAGGGAATCGCCAAGCTCCAAGGATCAACAACTATTTGCGAAAGCAATTATTCTTGTTGTTCCTTTCTGGCGCTACCACGGACCCGGAAGCACAAATGGCACTGTGAGTAATACAAATTGAATTGTGCTAAATTGCATACGCAGATTATTTTTTTATTATTGGCCAGTTTTATTATTTTGACTTGAATTTGTTAATAATAATGGAACCATTTTTTAGGATATTTTGTATGACGAAGTTACAAGATCAGGACTTATTCAAACTCGACTGAGATTCCTTCACACAAATCTAAATAAGGGCAAGGCTAAACCTGCACAGAAAAGAGTCTCGATATTTACTGGTGGACCATCCGCGAAAATAATCTCACTACCAAAACCAGATGGTGAGGCGGAAACAAGAATTCCTCCCACGGACGCCATTAATAAACTTAATGGACTTTGCCCCAAAAACTCTACAAAAGAAATAAAGCAATTGTTTCTGGAGACACTTACCCACCGGACATCTTTACGAAAGAGTCAGCTGGATTCCATGCTCATTCTCAGGCTTTACAAGAAATTTTTGGACTGCGATTTCCTAGTGAGTTGTGATGATAGCAAATTATTAATTATGGTGTTGTGCTTTGCGCCATTTTAATCACAAAGTTTCAGCTAACCATATTTTTCTATAAACACAACAGATTAACTATGAGTTTTCGCTTATGCACGACGATTTGTCAAACAATTTCCTGAATGCTTGGCCATCAGTTGCGCAAAAAATTATTGGAGCCGCTCCAAAAATTTGCAAGTCACCTGGACTCACGAAATTCTTATCGGAAGGAATTGGTAAGCATAAGTTGTGTTTGAAAAGGTTAAACATTTAGTTAATTAATCAATGTGACTGAAACAATTCTGATAGATTATTGGGATCGT